TTTCTCACTAGTAGCACCCATCAAGGGTGTCGTCTTTCTCAAGCACCCATCAAGGGTGTCGTCTTTCTCAATAGTAGCACCCATCAAGGGTGTGGTGTTTCTCAATAGTAGCACCCATCAATGGTGTCATGTTTCTCAGGAGTAGCACCCAGCAAGTGAAATGCCAAACTTTTAAAACTAAAATATTTTTTATTATCCAACTGGCGTTACTATTGTCACTGGAGAAGCCATTATCAGAATTTACAATTATTGTCATTTTCCCTCCCTCCCAAGAATGTTCCTATAATTGTCTTACAACTGCTTTTTGCTCGCTTTTCGCAGTATGCTCAAGCTCCCTAAACTCCAAATCTTTATTATCCGAATTTAATTGATAATTCTCTATCCACTTTTTGATTTATATTTCATTTTGCCACATTTTGTCCCAATCGTTTTTATCGATTATCCTCGGAAAAAAACCCCAAGAAAAGTAAACCTTAAAAGATCGGGTTTATTGTTTCATCTATTTTTTTAAAGTCAATTTGTTATTTGACAAGCGGTATATTTATGGTTTTTTTATTCAGTAAAAGATCCTTATTTTTACAATAATTATATTTTAACAGAGCTTCCTAGTAGCAATGAGTTGATGAGATCATTTTCTTTTATCTTGGAAGACAGCCATTTATCGTTTGTTTTTTATTAAATAATAAACTGATTTGGTATCTGCAAATATAAATAAATGTCAATATATCGTCAACAAGAGAAACATTTTCTTTCTCCAGAAGACGATATCTTGCCTACAAGATATCATTAACCCGAGAAATGTTTTACTTTCTCGGGAAAGTAACATCTCACCCTAAAAGATATAGTCACTCAGAGAAATATTTTCTTTCTCGGAAAGACTACATCTTTAAAGATATCACCAACCCGTGATGAAATATCTCGGGAAGACGATATCTAACCTACAAGATATCATCAACCCGAGAAATGCTTTTATCCCGGGTAGACGATATCTGACCTACAAGATATCATCAACCCGAGAAATGTTTTTATCTCGGAAAGACTACATCTTTAAAGATATCACCAACCCGTGATGAAATATCTCGGGAAGACGATATCTAACCTACAAGATATCATCAACCCGAGAAATGTTTTTATCCCGGGTAGACGATATCTGACCTACAAGATATCATCAACCCGAAATATATTTTTATCTCATGAAGACGATATCTCACCTACAAGATATCATCAACCCGAAAAATAGATTTTTTTTTCTCGGGAAGAAGATATCTCACCTACAAGATATCATCAACCCGAGAAATGTTTTATCTCGGGAAGACGATATCTCACCTACAAGATATCATCAACCCGAAAAATAGATTTTTTTCTCGGGAAGAAGATATCTCACCTACAAGATATCATCAACCCGAAATATATTTTTATCTCGGGAAGACGATGTCTCACCTACAAGATATCGTCAACCCGAGAAATGCATTCTTTCTCGGGAAGACGACATCTCACCTAAAAGATATCATCAACCCGAAATATATTTTCATCTCGGGAAGACGATATCTCACCTACAAGATATCATCAACCCGAAAAATATTTTAATCTCGGGAAGACTACATCTCACCTAAAAGATATCACCAACCCGTGATCAAACATTATCTCGGGAAGACGATATCATAATAATGCCTATATACAAGATAACATGGCGACAACGTACTTCAAAGATGTCCTCCTGTGAAATATATAAAGATTCTCATCAACTCATGTGCCATTCAAGAGCTCTGGTCTCCATGCCCACTGATTTCAAACCCTAAACCCGATTTGTATATTGATAAACTTCAACCCTTGGAATGTACATTACAAATTTTGACCAAAAATTGTATCAAATAACTTATATATATTATTATCGTTAAGGCATTAAATAGCCACTAATTTTTCCATTTGACCTGACTTTGGGAAGTTTATTCTTTATTTAAACAAAAATGGTATTCAAAATATTTTACTAATTCATGTTTTTTTTTTTACTCTATGGCCATGCTAGGCAATGATGATTAAATCTAACGCTCCTGCTGGTGTGTTCTGCACTGTGCGCGCCATGTGCCTATACCCCATGCACCCCACCACGCCTTAATCCTTCACCTTAACCTTAAAATGTCAAAATCATTCATTTAATACAATCATAATTATTTTGGGATTAGTGTCCTCCTCAAACGTCGAATTATCGTTAGCTATCGTTGTCCTCAACAGCAGGTATTCTTCAATTATTATGAGCTTCCGTCGTTTTTTTTTAAAATCTTAATTTATACAATCATAATAAAACAAAATCAGCTCTAAATAAATTTGTTTTGTCTTCTTGAACTTATAGTATAAACTCTAAACTTAATGGTGTAAAGGTCACAGCAGTTTGAAAAATAATTTTGAAATTAGTGGATACAATGTCCAAAGTCCATAAAATGTATGTTGGCCCATTGGAATGCCGCACTACATTTATCCAACTGATATAATTGCATTAGATAAATTCTGACATAAAGATCCATTGGCGCCGTTGCTTCCTCCTCGATTTCATTGTGTTCCGGTTTTTTCATTACTATATAATCATCGTTAAATAATAGCTTTAAACCATTTTGTTCTCATAAAGGCCTAATTCTTTAAACCAGTCACTTTAATACAATTATAACAGCAAGGTAACTAAATTCCAAGGAACCTTCCACTCTTAATGAATATCTGAACCTGTTTACTCCAACCTTTGAGCAAATCACTAAAATTCCCTCGTTGGAATGTCTTTGAAAGTTTATCAATAACAGTGCACCTGGCCGGATACCGCGCGCGCGGCCTTTCAACCAATAAGAATCACACAGGAGCGTATGACCACGCCCACTGCGACAGCCACGCGTGGCCTACTCGTATACCGCAAGCTCTATTCAAACCATGTGTAAAATACGTAAGGCACAAAAAAGGCATGTCGCGTTAAGAGCCAAAAAAACCGGTACGGTATATGTAAACATGTTGGCAGTTATTTATATGCAAATTAATCTAAATCAAAAGGGCGTTCACCTACAGCAAAGGTATTTCAACGTACAATGTCCAGCAATGCAAAAGCCTAAAGACATGAGAGCAAAATGGACGACATGTGGACTCACGCATTACTATTAGTATTTTTTTTGCTGACATCTAAGCATATTAAAAAAGGTGATATTTAAACGGGAAAATGACAGATTTTTATGGTACAATAATCAACAATACCCAACACAACCTCGTATATGCGACGCAAGGAGGTTTTGCCTTCTTTTGGTTCTGTTTGGCCGGAGGAGAATATAAATTTTCACCCACCTCTGTAGTTCCATAATAACGTTGGACTTACCCCCGGCGAACTCCACTAAAGCTTGACTTGAGTATTTTCCAAAACCGTCATTCAGATCATTCGACAAAGTATGAGTTCACAAAATTGTCATGTGTGCATTCAGTTCAGTTCAGCACAAAATGAGCGTTCAAATGAATGCGGTTGCGAAGTCCAGTTCAGTTAAGTAAAATTAGTCTTACGACAAGTTCTGTAGGCCTACAGCAAAGTTAAAGTCAGTTTTTCGTTATTGATAACGACGGCGCCACAACACCAGCGTGCGTGCCCATGCTGCAGTTGCCCCCGTACACACGAGGCCCGGATTTTCGGTCGACTTGCCGGACTCCAAGCGTCCAAATTCGTCCAAAGACTCCATGGTAAGCCCGCGTACAAGTTTCACGTTGCAATGGTGGCTTGCATTTCATTAATAATGCCCGTTTTTTCTAAGACGGGAAGGTATTTGAGGCGGTATCCATGACGTAGCACGCGTGGCTCGCGTAGCCTGTCTCTCATTGGTCATGGTGACGTCTTCTTGCCAATCTAGCCAATTTGATTGGACGAAGGAGCAGGTAAAAAAAAAACATGAGCAGACGAGCAATGTACATGTTATTAGTGCAGGGGTCTTTTTAGTGGCGTATTTAATTGTTTTGTGAAATTCAAGAAATCATTCATGCAATTCGCATTGCATTTTCAGGCCCGGAATAACTTGAGTTGTACAAGAAACTACTTGTTTCATACTCCTGCATGCAATCGGACATCCAATCGTGCATAGTGACATCCTTAATCAAAATAATGTTAATTTAAATTCATGATATAGGGGGCCTACATACAATGATGGAGATAAACATGCATCAAATTTAAACGGGGGGAAATATATAGTCTTCTTTAGTATTAAAAGAGGGCGAAAGTTTGTGTAAGGCCTATATACATAAACAGTACTTAGCGCATGCATTATACAAACATAATGTCTCTATCTGGTAGCAAACAAGTGTCTTAAAAAGTGCCAAGGATGGGTCGATCAGTATGTCCGTTGGCCATAAGATTTGGTAGTAACCACATGTACATGGATGTTTTTTAGATGATGTTTTGAGGTTGGAGCGAAGATTCTTTGATGGACGCAGTAGCCTGTAAGTCCGTTATTAATTCCAGAGATTTTTATGGGGACCAACGTAAAGTACATTGGAAGTTATTTAGGTGCGGTTTAAACTTGAATGGTTTTGCGTCTGTGCGCTTCTGTGCGCTTGAACAGTTTTGCGGAGGAGCGCTAGCGTGATTTGAAGTAATTCTCGCCAAACTGTTATCGGTAAAACCCCCAAAAATGTGCAGAAAGTGAAATTCATTAAAGATGTCTTTATTTTTGTCTTGAATATCGGTGAAAGTTGTGGGTATCCTCCCCCAATTATTTAATTTTTTTTCATGAAGACATTTGTACTTCTTTTAATCTGTTGTCCGTAAAAGTCGCGGGGTCTGTGTATATGGAGATCAATGGTAGGGCCAGTGCAGTCTCCTCTCTACGTACGTCTGCTGCATGCACGCGCCTTTTAATCAACAAGATGCTGACCAAAGATCCTGACCATCGACATAGCGCCCTCCAGTGAGAATCTGTAACTCAATCAACGATTTTGTCACGTGATTTCAATCACGTGCTGAATTGCTCAGGTACTGTGCACCGGTAAGTTTTGCCATGTTTGATCATTGATGACTGATGTTTGCTGCAGACGCGAATTCATGTTGTGGTCTTTTCCCTTGTTTTACCCATGTATTGTAAATTGCCATTATGCCAGCTTGCACATTGATTCCCTCCGCTTTTTTTGTTTATAAATTGTAGCTCCATGTCGATGGAGCTATAGACAAGACTCGCAAAAGAAACAGGGTAGCAAGTTCGACGTTTATGCAGCTGACCGGTGGGAGGTAAAATCAATATTTTGTACTTATTTAAGGCCTGTTAATCATAATGTTATAAAAAAAACCGCAGTGGCTATTGTTACGGCAGCCGTAACGCATTTCCCATTTTCTATTGTTACGGTAGACTGCAACTTTTATAAAAACATGACAAGAAAATATCAAATTAGAAAAATAGAAGGAAAAAAGTGAATTTGAACGTTATGAAATTCGGACTTTATTTCCCTTTTAAAAAAAATCCTCTAAAGCCTCAGGTTAGAAAAGGAAAAAAATTCGAGTGCAAAACTGAGATTCGAACCCGCAACCTCGCGGTGCAAAATCCTACCCTCTATCGACTGAGCTGTCACACTGATCGCTAAATCGTGTGGAAACAAATAATTATATACCTGCGTGCGTATCAAAAAAGTATCGTAGAGGGCGCTAAACAACGACTGCCGTAACGATAGCCACTTCTTAAAAAAAAACTCATTCATCATGTTCATAATGAGGAAAGAATGTTGCAACCCGACGCTTCTTTTTTTCTTCATATGTCTTGCAAAAATGACGATAAGACATGAATCTGTGACTGAGAAACATTTCCATTTTTGTTAGGAAATACTTTAAAAACAATTCTTGCTCTCCATAGACTTTGTACACACCGCTGTAGCATCACGTTGCAACATTCTTTCCCTTAATGTGCCTATCAGATGTTTCCGCAACCCCCAACAAATTGAAAAAAGGAGAAATTCTGAAAATGAAGGTTATCAATATCATTGAGAACACTGGGACTGTGGGAGAATTTGGGAAAAAAGGTGCAACCTGACGCCACTTCATGGAGCGTCAAGAACATTTCTAAGTATCCTAACAAAATTGGAAATATTTCCTAGTCCCAGATTCATGTCTTAACATCATATTTGCTATGAATGACCTTCATTGAAATGAAAAATGAAGAAAAAAGTGGCGTCAGGTTGCAACAGTGTTTCCTAGAATTTTTTCTCTCGACCTCTCACTCACACATGTCTCTTGCCCCATAAATGTGGCCAATTTACTGGACTAACTCCGTAAATAAAGGCCACACTTGGAACATGTACACAAACATGTAGAACTTTGTCAAATTTTGATTTTCACATTTAGGCTTAGTTTGTAGTTTATTTTTGCTTTAGAAGCATACTCACCCTCTTTATAGGCTGATCAGAAAGTGTTGCCTTTTTCAGAAGTTTGGTTTCGTGAAATTTCATGTTTTGATATGCAAACGTAGGCAAACGAATCTGGAAATTTCACAAAAAATAGACATCTGAAAAAGGCAGCACTTTCTGATTAGCGTATAAAGAGGGTGAGTATGCTTCTAAAGCAAAAATAAACTACAAACTAAACCTAAATGTGAAAATCAAAATTTGACAAAGTTCTACATGTTTTTGTACATGTTCCAAGTGTGGCCTTTATTTACGGAGGTAGTCCAGTAAATTGGCCACATTTATGGGGCTAACATGTCTTTAGTGTTGTGATATGGAAGACTGCACTGAGTTTGCCAAATAATAAGAGGTCATGTGGTATCACCTTGTATTATTTTGTAATTTGTATGTTTCTTTAATCATGCCACTACTACTAGAAGTAGAAGTCGAAGACCTTCAACAAGTTCAAACTATTGTAAGCGCGGCACTCCAATATTGTGGCAATATTTCTCATCAGGTGTAAATATTATATTATCATACTCTAGAAGCAAGGTAAGCTGAACATTTTGTAATTCTGAAAGTGCAGGCAGGATACTTCATTCTTTCCTTCTCTACTTTACTCTCGGCCACAGATTGTAGATTTGTCCTGCAGAAATGGAAGGTGTCAACGTGCGAGGTGCCGTTCAGAGCTACTGCAGCAAACTGAGTTGGCAAAAGCGGTTTCCTATCAGCATATGGCTACCGAGGTATCGTCTGCCGTTCTTGTTGCATGACTTCATAGCTGGACTGACGGTGGCTCTAACTGTCTTACCTCAGGGTCTGGCCTACGCTAGTATTGCCAAGCTTCCTATTCAGGTTGGTGACCGTTGATTGAAAAAGGGGATTATTTTTGGTCCCAAATTTTGGGACCATTGTTTTTGGTTCAGTGTTCTTTCAGCAAAACGAAAACAAATCACATAGGGATGTGTGTAAAATTGTTTTTGTTTCGCTGAAAGAACGCACACCTTTTTTTGTGATCCGTGGACAGAACCTTAAAACGGTGCTTGAGTTTAAAATACCGTAACTTGAAAAGTACATGAGCGATTTGAATGATTTTTGTACTAAAAGAAAGCTTATGAATTGGGCTTTCATATCCTAGATTTTGAAAGTGCTACATGCAGAACTTCAATAAAACAATAGACCCGACATATGGGTTTCGGTTTTTTTATACTCACCCTGTATAAATGCCCCCTAAAAATGTTTAGCGTCCTGCCTTTTCAAAAGAAAAAAAGGAAGGAGATCCTTTTTTTTCCCCTCCAAAATGGCTGCCCGACTGGGCTATTTTTAAAAGATTGCCACCAGCTTTTGTTTTAAAATGGCCGCCACTTGGACTCAGGAAATGGCATACCAGCTTTATATGTGCTAGAATAGATGCCAACAGTTAAAGAGTTCAAAATGATGTTACTGTTTAAAATTTATAAATTTTTCGGTTTAGAAAAAGAAAAGAAAAAAGGGGGCGGTCTCAAATAAGGAAGCGGGCAGGGATGCTAAACATGTTGTTTTTTTTGTCGCTCCTTATGGTGTATTGCAATGATGGCCATTCTTTTTCATGTAGCATTTTGTCATCTCCGTCAGCGTTTTCCCCCCCCAAAAAAATTCTCAGAAACTAAAAACAGAGACCTCTATCAATTATTTCCTGTTGATTTAAAATTTGCTAACAAGTTGGATAAGTTTAAAAAATCTAAAAGTGGATTTTCCTTCTCTTATAGGAACGGGGCCCAAAACTGTACAATTGCCGTTGTCTGATATATGGTGTGGTTCATGACCATGATGTAGCTGAGAGTGCCATTCACCCACGATCACGTACAAAACCAATTGATGCACAGTGAAACACAACAAACAATTTGGGTGTTTTTTTTTAGGGTGGGGGGGGGGGGGGGAGGGGGTGTGACTTGTTCTTTCTGAAGTATATTCTGAATTTATTGTAGATGACTGTTCCCTTTCTCGCAGTATGGTCTTTACTCGGCCTACATGGGATGCTTTGTCTATTGCTTTCTTGGCACCAGCAAAGATATAAGTGTCGGACCCACTGCCATCATGTCGCTTCTTGTTGCAACGTTTGGCAAGACTGACCCCAAGAATCCGTTGCTGCATGATCCTGCCTATGCGGTCCTCTTGGCTTTCTTTGCCGGTGTGGTGCAGTTCATGTTGGGCTTTCTCCACTTGGGTAAGTTGAAGCCCCAAGGGTGGATCTAGCAAATCTAAGGGTCGCAAGCCAAGGAAAGCCAAAACTTAAAAGACACCATGAGGTGAATTCAAATAAATCAATATTCAATCTTTAAGTTGTCAAGTTTAAAGTCAAGTCACTACATGCAGTTATTCAGATGAGAATATTGTACTCATGTTTATATTCATTTTCCTTTGTGGTGCTCAGTGGTCTTGTGTCGAACTGGAAGGCTGAAAGGGAGTGGCGTCCCTTGCCTCAGCGAGATGGCTGGCTAATGTAATGCTAATATGCTCCTAAGTTGCCAAACAAATATGAATTGGTCATAGAAAGCCTGTAATTCGTCCTGGAAACAGTAGACCCCCCCTCCCCCTGTTCAGCTGCTGACCAGTGTTATGATATTAATAGAATGGGGCAACAAAATAATAGATGGAATGCAAAAGGTCTTCAATTTATTCTCAAATTGCCTTAGGCCAAACAAAAAAGTCTCCGGTTTCTGGTATGGAGCTTGCCCAAAAAGTGGTGCGGCGACGCAGCTTTTTTTTTTTTTTTTTACCTGATTTTTTTTGCTTCAAATGTCAGCTGATGACTGCAAATGGTGCCCGACTAAACTTAGTGCAAATGTATGGGAGTCCAGAGAGGCCACATAAAGCTTATTCTCGACCATAACCCAATCTAAAAAACGTTAAAATTGTGCAGCAGCAGAATTCCAGTCAAACCAGCGAGTTTGGCGGTTTTGAGACATCATCTTTCATTGACAATTTTTTTTTTTCATTTTGCAGACGTGCATGGCTACGGCGACGCGCGCGCATACCAGAAACTGGAGACTTTTTTTGGGGGGCTTTAGAATGCAGGAGAAAGCCTCGTACATTTCAAAATTTTCCACCTTCGCTCAAACCCCTGCCTTGACATCAAACACCCCCCATTTCCTAAAAGCTAGATCCGCCCCTGGAAAAGGCATGGTAAAGTCATGAAAAAGGTCATGGAATTTTATTTAAAGATTTCTGTGGGAACACTGTTTTATACCTTTTTCCATCAGGTGCCCTGACTGGTTTCATCTCGGCCGGCGTTATAGCAGGATTCACCTCCATATCTGCAATCACTATTGCATTCGGACAGGTCAAACACATACTCGGTATACACTTCAGCTCCGAGACATTTCTGGACGATCTTATTATGACATTTCAGCACATCAAAGAAACAAAGTAGGTTCAAGTTTACCTTTCGTTCAACATCAAATTAAAATTTTTGCATGTACAGGTTTTGGGATCCATGCATAACTTACTTTCTAGTATACCTACAAAACGTGTCACTTGGGCCATCCCTGTTACTGCTAATAATGGTTTATTTCAGGAATCTTCAAATCTCTCCTCTTAAAGGGAATATACAATATTTGAAAACATCAATAAATAAAACTACCAGGTTTTTATGAAATACCGCACTAGGATGTTGGTTAATGACAGTCTAAAGCATCCTGTAAAATTATGGCACCTGGTGTGAAGTCATTTTCAAGAAAATGGTATTTTTGTATACATTTCCAACGGTGGTCGGCCGACCACTGTTGGAAAAACCTAACTATTTTTCAACTACTGCTCCAACTTTACACTTTTTTCAGTCCAAATTTTGTTTGCTATTGGTTACATGTTCATGAACAGGTGCAGGCCAGCTAGACTGGTTCCCTTACCTTACAATTTTCCGGCATCTATAAATTGATCCATTTTATCTTTAGTGGAGTCAAGGAACCAGACTACTTGAACATTTTTGATTTTCTTGGTTTTTCCAGCATTTTTGAACACAAAAACTTCAAACATGTCAGTGTAACAATATTTTGATCTATTATACTAACCCCTCAAATAGTTCATTTCTGAAAATTACAGCAAAAGCCAATGATGTACATTCCCTTTAAGCCATCAGATTTTTTGTGTGCAATAACTGCACTACCTATTTTTTTTAGTTTGTACTTTAATAAACCAGTTCTGTTTTCTTTCTTTCAGTCCATGGGATGTTGTGATCGGTATATGCAGCATTGTTATTCTTCTAGCTTTACAGGTGAGTTTTTTTAATCGATTTCTTAATGACTTCCTTGTGTAATAATAATTTTATTTTTTTCTTGTGAGAAAGTCTTTGTTTTCGTTACAGGCTCCTTTTAAGAAGAATTAAAGGGAATGTACAACATTTGCTTTTGCTGCAAGTTTAAAAAATAATGGATTTGGAGGATTAGTATGCTATAGCAAATATTGTTAAAATGACTTGTTTCACTCTTTGGGCTCGTTAGATGCTGGAGAAACCAAGAAACCAAGAAACCCAATCATGTTCTTGTAGTCTGGTTCCCTGATCCCACTTAAGATGAAACGGAGTAAATTCTAGACTTTGGGGAATTGTAAGGTCAGGGAAGTAGTCTAACAGGCTTGTACTCCTTCACAGGTTTGTAATCAACAATTACAAAGAAAAAGCAGAATAACTAAATTAAAAAAATTGGGAGCAGTTTTCGGAAAAAAAACACCAATTTTATCCAACGCTGGTCGGTCGGCGTTGGTAAAATACAAATTTTCTTGAAAATGTCAGCGCACCAGGAGCTACGATTTGACAGAATGCTTAAGACTGTCATTCCCTAATAATCCAGTAAGGTATTTCGTGATTATGTGATCATTTCGTGTTTGATGTTTGCAAATGTTGTATCTTCCCTTTAACAAGGTATCCAAAACTGCAGGATTCTACTATGGTGTTCATGAGCATATGTATGGAAAAAATGGGAAAATTGCATTCACTCAGGCGAGGAAAACAGTTTCAGAAAACTATTAGACATTTTCTGATGAGTTGGTAGCACACTGGTGGCAGGTATGCACTGGCACACTCAATACTCACTTGACTGGAAGCGAGGTTCAAAATTGTCCCGAAATAATGGGGCATTAACCCTAACCCTGCTGAATCCAACAGAATCCAACTATGTCATATACCCGATGGAGCCTGTTGGATTGAGCAGTAAACCCCTTGTGTACATTCCTCATGCAAAATGGTGGATCCAACAGGCAACTGAAAATAAGGTCCAGTGGATTGAGCAGGAAACTCCGGTTGGACTCTGTTGGATTTAGCAGGGTAGTCCTGAGGAACTACTATGGGGTTTAGAAGATCGGCAACATTAGCTGTGTCTCCTTATTGTACTTACTGTATTTGTACATGTATTGGTCGGTATGTGTATTGTGACCCACCAGCACAAGACCAGTCACAAGGACCAATTTTTGCAAACTGGGATTTGGGGCTCATTGGAAAGGACTTTGAATAAGCTTTCCAATGATTTATAGAATATGGGAATCGGACAAAATCTGACAGATATATAGGTATTTTCATTCCCATTTTTCTGGCCTCTCAAAGTTAACCAAAAAAAAACCCCCCGAAAAAATTGCCCAAGAAGTTTCCCAAAACAAGGAGTTTCCCAAATGAACTCCTTAGTAAATTTTACAAATTAACTTTATTAAAAGTGATATATATATATATATTCATTATTCTAGTTTTTAGTACCTAAATCCGACTTTCGAAAATGTTTGCCTGTGCGACTTCCGACTGAAGTTGTGCTGGAGGGTCACATTTTGTTTTGGAAATTTTGTTGTTAAGTATCAATTCATTCCACATTTTGTGTTCCAGTTGTTGAAGCATCGCGAGATGAGTTGGGAGAAAGACGAATCTTACACTCCCTCTAGAGGCCAGCTCTGCACATGGAAATTCCTCTGGCTTATAGCTACAGGTAGGTTAAAGGAAAGATACAACATTTGCAAATATCAAAAAAACGAAATGATCAATTTATCACGAAATACCTTACTGGATTGTTAGGGACTGACATTCTAAAGCATCCTTTAAAATCGTGGCTCCTGGTGTTCTGACATTTTCACGAAAAAATGTATTTTTCCAACGCTGGTCGGCCGACCAGCATAGGAGAAAACTGGCTTTTTTCAACAACTGTTCCTAATTTTTCATATTTAGTTATTCTGACTTTTCTTTGCAATTAATTACACACCTGTGAAGGGGTACAAGCTTGCAAGACTGATTCTCTGACCTTACAATTCCCCAAAGTGTATCAATTGCTTCGTTTCATCTTAAGTGGGGTCAGGGAACCAGACTACAAGAACATGATAGGTTTTCTTGTTTTTTTCCAGCATCTACAAGCCCAAAACGTGAAACAAGTCAGTTTAACAATATTTTCTATAACATACTATTTCTCCAAATCCATTTATTTTTGAAAATTGCAGCAAAAGCAAATGTTGCACATTCCCTTTAAAGCTATAGTCCATCATTTGTAATTAGTGCATTTTGTTCGTTTGAAGCAACAAAAGTGTTCAAAATCTAATGAAGGATACTGAACAACTTACTTGATGAAGTTTTAGCTCAGCTTCAGCTTCATATTCCGAGAAAAACAGCATTCTAGGATCTCAATTTAAAATCAATAGTTGCTAAATCATGTTTCGAATTGTTTTGAATTGCAGCTTTACGCGATGTTGCGCACTGATCCAACGAATTATAGCAACCGCGCGCGCCTGTGCGTCGTTCCAATGCTTGTGCGCGCTGCGCCGAATAACAAAACAAACAACTAATTTAAATTTTCCTACGGTGCTTCTTAAGAAGCACCGTTGGAAATGCCTTCTTTCGTTGATTTCTTCAAAATGAGAGCTTGCCAGAAAGGATAATTTCACAGGGAGTTTAGTCCCCTTACTATCTTTCAACTAGTATGTTTTTCAACAATAATTACGCCCGTTACTTTTTTGGATAGCTGCAAATGATGGACTCGGGCTTTAATGAAACTGTAATATCTCAAGTCCAGACCACTGGGATATTAGTTGCAGACAAAACATAAGTCCAAACGTGAAGTCCGAGTTATAAACTGAGCTGTATGCTGACCATCTCAGGCAGTGAGCTGAGATGGTCTTTGGAATGTTTTCGTTGGCCTGATGAGCAGGGGTAATAATTATGATGTACCATGCCATGAGCATGTATATGCGCAATACGGAAATCAATATTATAATTTAACACAACATCTGACAACAGAAATGGTTCGTTTCTGTGGTGAATGAACATGATTCAGATTTGGTGACAAGCCCATCGCAAGTGGATTGCAGGCCAATTTCAAAGTCATCCAGTCTCAAGTCAAGTGAGAAGATATTAACAAAGAAATTAAATTTCAATGTTATTTTTCAATTTTTTTTTTGAGATAAAATCAACAATGTGTATTGCACATATTGCACAACGTGTATTGCTGTAAAAAGTAGATTTCGTCTGTGATAGCCCCAAAAAGCCAATTATAGAGAGGCTTATTTCCACTGGGGCCCCTGACTTAGAGATGAATTACACACAACCTGATCCAATAACACCTAAAATAAGATGATAAAAATCTTATTTTTTTCATTTGTTTTCATGGTTTCTCAGAAGTTTCTGATTTGACTTGTGACTGACTTGGAATTCGAGTTTTGATTGACATGTGATTGACTTAACTACATGTACACGTACCATTTTACCTAGTCCGAAAATTTGGGACTCTCAATACTGTGTATGAGAGTCCCAAAACTTAAGGTATTGAAAACATGCAAAACAAGAAAATAGACTGGCACCTGAAACAACCAGTCCAACACAGCTTCAGTACAGCATCAATCAACCATGCCAAAACAATTAAAGAAACATGTGGCATGAAGCGGGAACTAGTCGCAATTTACTACACATTTCTCCATAGTCAAGCCACCAGACTATAGACACTGACTGAAGAGGTCAGTCTTTTCAAAAAGTTGGGCCATGGTTGGACATGCACCAGTCTAGTCTTTAGCCTCATGTTGAAATCACTTGACTTCCCTCTCATGTGCGAAATATTGAAGGAAAGTCTCCTTTAAAAATTGAATTCAGTCTGCATATTTGGTTGGCGAAATACTGAGGACATTTTCTTGGCTCCAGTGGAATTTTTGGAGAAATTTGCTAGCTAAACTGTGAGTAAAGTGGGCCTGATTTAGTTTTGCACGTTTCAGAGCACTCCAGAGCCCTGTCTGCTTTTTACCAAGAATCTAGATCTAGCAGGATCTGAGAAATTACTAGCAAACCTAAAGCACACTGTTATCAAGCTAATGCTCACTCACGAGGTGTAGCGTGCTTTGAATTTCTTGGATCTGGCTGCCAAATTTCCCAAGGTGGGATTTGGTTCATCTTGTTGATAGTACCTTCTACTTCCACAGTAAATCATGGCCACACTTGTGAGTAATTTGGACTGGTTGCATTGGAGAGAAAAAATATCAAACCCAGTCTTCAATTTGGGTGGATTCATAATGCAGTGCGCCACCAAGAGTTTGCCACGGAGAGTTCATTTTTCCTAGTGCATTGTGGGAGATGGTCGACAAATTCGCAGTTGAAATTGTTAGTTTTTCCGGTCAGTAGTTTCGTAAGCGTATGATTCCAGTATCTGTTTGCCCTTTTCTTTTCTTTTTATCAACATGGTGTTTTTTGGTATTAGGCGGCAAAATGCTATGCCCCAATATATAACATATTTAGCTCAAGTTGTCTACTGACACTCATTCAAATGGCCTATGTTTTGTCAACAGTAACTTACTTGAAAAAATGGACGCTCCATCATAACTCTTGGTGGCGCACTGCATTGTGAATCGCCCGAATTGGATCAAGGCGGCTAATCCTGAGTTGTGTGTGTTCCATTCATTTATTTTAGGCCGCAATGCCGTCGTAGTAGTCGTAACGGCCCTGATAGCTTGGACGTTACAAACGCAAGGACTAGCTGATAAAGTGACAGTCACTGGACCAGTCCGGCAGGGACTGCCGCCATTTCAAGTCCCAGATTTTTCAAAGCCAGACTTGTTTAGTGTATGTATTTAATGAAAATATTTGTATCTTGTTTTTGTGGTTTTGTTGTGTTTTTTGTTTGTTTCTTTTGGTGGCTGTTTTTTTTTTTTCCCCCTTTTTTTTTGGGGGGGGGGGGAGAATTCCGTTTTCTTTCCCGTTGACAATTTTTAGACCAAGTATATTACAACCCAATGTTGCATTGTATTAACAATTGTGCCCAACGAAATCAAGGGTACATGTATTTTATTAACCCGAGCCGCCCCAACTCCATCAAAATCCACCCCCCTGTTTTGGTTGATTTGGGGGACTTGGTCCAGAAGGCCTGGCATGACTAAATATTGATGGAGTATGATGGACTTGGGCCTAATAGCCTGAAGCAGTTGCAAGAGGTATCCGATTGATTTTGCCTAGCTTCCTGTACTGCTATTGTGCTAAAAGCCACGTGTAGCAAGTCCATGAATGTCAACCAGTGCCTCAGTGGTGGATTCCATAGTGTCATGTACAGTTTTGTATTGGAAGCTTATGGATTGATGGATTTTGATAAACTCGGTCCAGTTCTTAGAAAAAGACGCTAGGGAGTTAGGGTTAAAATTTTTGTGAAATGTTTGGTGCGATTTAGATTTGGAACCCTTTTTAAGACAGATTGGCATTTAACTGTTTTTTTTTTCACTGCGCCTTGAGCATCTCATTAAGATGGATGAGGCGCATTTATATATGTACACTTGTACTTATGCACACTTGTACTTATATATTTTTTAATATTATGTTATTATTAAGTTATGAAGTTCCAAGATTTAACAAAACAAAATGATGAGTACAAAAACAAAATGGCTGTTGTTCTTATTTCAGGTACTTGAGCTGGGATTAGCAATGATACCTCTGATAGGATTCCTGGAAGCTATTGCAATCGGCAAATCATTTGGTAAGGAAAACAAACGTCTGCATTTACTAGCTCTTTATGTCAGGATGTAAGTCCTCTTACTCATACAGGATTTCTTTGCTTTTTTGAATTTCCGATAACGTACCAGCGACTTGTGCATTTCTTGTTAGATTTCTTGCAAAAGTGTCAGAGCTTTTAAATCCCTGTACCTTTTTTTTGAACCTAACTATTGAAAAAAAAAATTAAGCAAACTGATTAAAATGTAAAGTATGCATCCACTAGTTCTTTTCAAAACAACCTTTGTATCACTCAAAAGAAAAGTTTTCCTGTGGTATTACCATAGATTTCCCACAGTTTACTGTATGTTTTTGCCGCCTACTTAACCCTAACCACCCCAACTCCATCAAAATCCATCCCCCATTTTGGTGGATTTTTGGGGACTTGGTTCAGAAGGCCTGGCGTGACTAAATGTTGATGGGGTATGATGGACTTGGGCCTAATAGCCTGAAGCAGTGCTAGGGGTATCCGATTGATTTTGCCTAGCTTCCTGTACTGCTATTGTGCTAAAAGCCATGTGTAGCAAGTCCATGAATGTCAACCAGTGCATCAGTGGTGGATTCCATTATGTCATGTACAGTTTTGTATTAGATGCACAGTGATTGATGGATTTTAATGGGCTTGGTCCAGTTCCTAGTAACAGATGCTAGGGAGTTAGGGTTAACTTAGCATTCTCCCCTTGTGATAAATACATACACGTCTAGTCTTCACAGTCATTCATTTCATTGGTTGCAGCTCGACAGAATGATTACAAAGTGGAACCCAATCAAGAACTTATTGCATTAGGTGAGTAATATTTTCAAACACATGGTATTGATTGGTTAACATCCCAACATTTGTTGGCTGGCATGAGAGCTACTTTAGTAGTGCAAATAACGAAGAACACATGGTCGCAGTTTTGTAGTACTCGTACCCGTACTCATACTCAGGTACATTTTTTTGGTACTCGCACTCGTACTTATGAAAATGTACCCGTACTTGTACTCGTACTCTCAAAAAAAAGTTACCTGAACTCATATACTCATACTCGTATTTATGACAAAGTACTTGTACTTGAGTACATTTATTGGTATTAGTACACTCATACTCGTACTCTTGGAAACGTACTCATACTCATACTCCTATTAATGAAAATGTATCAACTACGCACTGCACAGCCATGCTTAACCATTAGGTCTGAGGACAAGGCATTGTGTTTCATGACAAAGTTCTTGTACTTGTACTCATGCTCGAGTACTGTTATTAGATTCCTACTCATACTCGTCCTCTTGGCAAAGTACTCATACTCATACTCGTGTTCATGAAAATGTACTCAACTACGGACTGCACAGTCCTGCTTAACCATTAGGACTGAGGACAAGGCATTGTGTTTCATGACAAAGTTCTTGTACTTGTATCCATGCTTGAGTACTTTTATTGGTATTCGTACTATACTCGTACTCTTGGCAAAGTACTCATGCTCGTGTTCATGAAAATGTACTCGACTACGAACTACACAGTCTTGCTTAACCTTTAGGTCTGAGGACAAGGCATGGTGTTTCATGACAAAGTTCTCGTACTTGTACCCATGCTCGATTACTTTTATTGGTATTCGTATTCATACTCGTACTCTTGGCAAAGTACTCAACTACAAACAGCACAGTCATGCTTAACCATTAGGTCCGAGGACAAGGCATTGTGTCTCCCTTTGTTCCGACATCATAACACTCTCCCATATACTTGGACGTTTGAGGACCGTTCTCACCAAAAATGCACATTTAAAGACAACAAATGAATCTGTTTTGTCTTTGTCTTGCTGTCTTCATGCTGTATATCATACACCTACACTGTAAACATTTATTACACGTAATCAACATTTATTGAACATTTTAGATTTCCGTTCTTGTTTTGCCTATGTTCAGGGTGTTGCAATTTGGCAGGATCTTTTCTGTCGGCCTACCCTGTCACAGGAAGCTTCTCCAGGTAATTTTTCTACACATTGCTTCATAAATGTAAATACGGACACCTTTGGCTGCCCAATTTTAAGGTTTTCCAGTGAATAGGCATTAGGGTATGAAGGAGTGAATTCGAGACATTTATTCAGATCAAAGATATTTCATATACTTTTTGGATCATAGGAAGTTGCACAGAGTTCAGACTCTGAATACAAGCTATTTCTAAGATATTAGTTTTATTGCTAAAAGTAAACATGAATATCTCAGATGTGCACTGTAGGGTAAAGTCTGTCCCAAGCCAATGTGGCCCATTAGCCCGTCGTTCATCATTTATGTCTGGTTTCCTTGGTATGAAACGACTGAGAATATTTCTACTCCCCCTAGATAGGATGCCAGTCCATCACATGTTATTCCCCAGCTAATGCCAGTACCCATTTACACTCCTGGGTGGAGAGAGGCAAGTAGGGGTGAAGTGGCTTGCCTAAGAACACAACATAATGGCAAGGAGACAAATAATATTTCTATTCCCCCTGGATGGGATGCTAGTCCATCGCAGGTTACTTTCAGCTAATGCCGGTACTCATTCTAATAGGTGGAGAGAGGCAAAAGGGGGTGAAGTGGCTTGCCCAAGGACACAACATATGGCCAGCAGCTGGACTTGAACCCCTGACCCTCTGATCATGAGTCACGAACCCTAGCCACGAGGCCACACTCCCCCCAATGTACACTATGGAGTAACAAAGTGTGACGTCATTTAGAACCAGGAAAGTGTAGTGCAAACGAATGGAGTACGTGCGCGTGTTGGTTCACGGGCTGAATCACGCGCTAATGTCTTTCACACACATTTTGTGTGTGTGACGTACTCACTTCGGTACTCAATACTGTCTTTAAACAACTACATCATGAAATGAATTGTTCATTGTTGGCAGGACGGCCATCAATTCTCAGAGTGGAGTGAAATCGCCAGCAGCAGGCGTGGTGACCGGAGCGGTGGTCATTTTGGCTCTGAGCTTTCTGACTCCTGCCTTCTACTACATTCCCAAGTCAGCCCTGGCGTCCGTTATCATCGTGGCGGTGTTGAAGATGGTCAATTACAAGATTGTGTTGGCTCTTTGGAAATTGAGAAGTAAGTTGTGTTGTTCCAACTTAAAAACCTCCTTTTCCCCTTTTTGTGGACATCTGCAAGAACCATATTATTGTCTTGTCAGCCAGTAATTCGATATTGTAAAGTAATAATTTGATAGTTGAGCATAGGCCAATTTTTATTCGGTCGATGTCTATTCAAAAGGGTCTAATTTTTGTATTGCTAGAAAATTAGTAATTTAGAAAAGGAATCTTATTTTCGAATGAAACTCTCAAATAGCACAGGGAATGCATCTTTAAACCATTTAACCCTACTATGCAAACATACATTCTGTGCCAAGGAGTCCTTTCAGTCAAAAGCAATCAAGTGACTGTTTTCAACAGTTAACAATTCCCAGCCTACATAAAGCAGGATTGACTGGCTGGGACTGTTTATGTAACTTGATACAGCTGTGCTCTGACCCCGGTTGATTGATAAACCAGGTGTGACCACAACTTGCCTGCCTGTTCATGGTCTGTTGACTGAGTTTGACGTGCCACAGTGCTTGCTTGACATATGATCTGACTGCTCGTGACTCGCCCGTGTTAAAAGTATAGCAGGGGAGGTGGATTGAAATTCTGACTGTCTGTGACTCTTTCAATAGCAGGAAGGTTAATACTTTTCATGTGGTGTTTTTGTGTTGCAGAAATAGAGCTTCTAGCCTTTGCTGCCACGTGTATATCATCCCTGTTTGTGGGTGTAGCCTATGGCACTGCTATCGGAATAGCCGTGGATCTGCTGATTATGATGTACTACATAGCTAGGCCTGGCATCAAGGTGTTGGAGCCATTATCATCTGGGCAGATGGCAAGACCTGTAGATGTGGAAACACATGTTCAGGTAAAGATCCCTTGTATTGAATCCATAGTCACCCTTAAAGGGAATGTACATCATTGGCTTTTGCTGTAATTTTCAGAAATGAACTATTTGAGGGGTTAGTATAATAGATCAAATATTGTTACACTGACATTTTTGAAGTTTTGTGTTCGAAAAGGGTGGAAAAACCAAGAAAAACAAAATTGTTCAAGTAGTCTGGTTCCCTGACTCCACAGAATATAAAATGGATCAATTTATAGATGATGGAAAATTGTAAGGCAAGGGAACCAGTCTAGCTGGCCTGCACCCGTTCATGAACATGTAACCAATAGCAAACAAAATTTGGACTAAAAAAAGTGTAAATTTGGAGCAGTAGTTGAAAAATAGTTAGGTTTTTCCAACGCTGGTCGGCCGACCACCGTTGGAAATGTATACAAAAATACCATTTTCTTGAAAATGACTTCACACCAGGTGCCATAATTTTACAAGATGCTTGAGACTGTCATTTACCAACATCCTAGTGAGGTATTTCGTAAAAACTTGGTAGTTTTATTTTTCAATGTTTGCAAATGTTGTATATTCCCTTTAATTCACCCTAATTTTACATTTTGGTTTGTAGTATAGATTCAAGATTGCAAAAATTGAAAAAAATGAAATACCAATGATACTTTTGACCTTTGGTACATCCAAGGTGCGGTCCACAGCGGCAGTAGTGGTCCAGCTTGCCAACAGTGTATACTACCCATCTACAGAGTACATAGTGGATGTCCTTAATGAACAACTCCATGAGAAGGATTATACACGGCCAGTTATAGTGGATTTCAGCTGTGTGTCGGGACTCGATTACACCATTGTGGAGGTACGTACAGCCAGTTAACATTTTTCCTTGCGCAAAATGTGCTGTTAAACCAAGTATTTTCAATATTGGGTTTTTACCCTTTACAAATGCATTGTATGATTTACCTGCGTATCTTTTCAAACAATCACTAGGGACAACACACTGTATATATACAGTGTTTGTAAAATACGTTGGTAAAGGTCAACACCCAATATGGAATTTGCATCACTCTGATGTAAATTCGGGCGATTCACAATGCAGTGCGCCACCAAGAGTTTGCCACGGAGAGTTCATTTTTCCCATTGCATTGTGGGAAATAGTCAACAAATTCGCAGCGCGGGACATTGGAAACTGTTCGTTTTTCCAGTCAGTAGTGTTGTAAGCGTACAATTCGAGAATATGTTTCCCCTTTTTTTTTCTTGTTATCAATATGGTGATTGTTGACAAGGCGACAGAACGCTACGCCCCAATCTATAGCAAATTAGCTCAAGTTGTCTACTGACACTCATTCAATCGGGCCATGTTTTGTCGACCGTAAACTTGAAAAGTTAACTCTCCATGGCAAACTCTTGATGGCGCACTGCATTGTTAATCGCCCGAATTCCATCTTAAGAAAAGTAAACCAAGTATGTATTGGCCCTGTGCGCGGACAAGAGAGGGTGCTTTTTTACCACTTTCATGAGCCTTGTGAACAGGACACGCCCACTGATCTCCCTATAGCACTGCGTGTGCCTACTGGTTCGCATGCATATAGTGTGAAGTACGCATGACTTCTGAATGTGTACAAAGACATAGTGTCTTTCACATGAGCAGAGTTTATGCGTGAGCATGATTTATGCCGAATACTCAACTGTCGATGTCTGTACATATACCCATACTTATGGACTAATCGATGGCCTGCCCACTCATAGTCTGAGTATCACCCATTATCCACGGAGGCAAGTCGTGTATAACGTCTGATATGTCTAGACATGCAGATATATGCAAGCCACGCGCCAGCCAATCGGAGTTGACTTTACTAAATCATGACGTCATAACATTCCTAAATCAGGACTAAATGGTTTGATTGGTCAATTTGAATGCGGTGTTTTGTAATACAACAGCAGCCGCGCGCAATTTTGTGTAACATGATACAGAGCGCGTGACACATGTTTTTATATCCAATTGTCTATGAGGCGCAACGGGTGAATGACCGAAGACCTGATATAGAAAGTGCCCGCTGATTGGTCACAATCTAGGAGGTCAAGAGGCAGGGTCTTGCCTAATTATCAGCGAATCTGTTCAGGCATAATAGACCTTTCGCCATGGTCTATTACATAGACTAGCCCACCCACACATTGCAGGCAAAATGACACCAAAGTGGTCCTTCAAGCATTAGAGGTATTATGGTTATTACTGTTTGTTGATTTGTTTCCAGGGGTTAAACGATGCCTTGAATGACTTCAAGAAAGCCAACGCTGAGCTTTTATTTGCGTGTACAAAGGTGAGTCATTTGCATGTTTCTACAAAAAAATCATGCATGAACTGAGGGTTGAAAATGCTGGCTGTCTGTGACCTCTATGACCATTTCCACTTCTGGCTGTTAGTTTCACTGTATGTCAAAGGGCTAATCTAATATTCATAGATACCTAATACAGTTTACCCATTCCTATTAGTTGAGAGTCTGTCACGTGGCCAGTCTTAAAGGGATGATAAGACCGGCTGGTTGGTCTTAAACACTTTTTCAGTGTCACATGAAATTTGGATTTTAATGAAATTTTATTGGTTGAACGTTCACAATCCTCACATATAGGCATGCGCAATACTACCAGTGAGTCAATATTTTATAGTCGTAAATTCACGACGCACTCTCCACAGCTGCATCTGCGCGTCATCGTGCAGTACGCGTGCGCCAATCTCCATGAAAGGAGTTGTTTACGTCTTGCTCACGAGCTGGACACTCCATTATTTAGCTAGAGGTGTGTTTTGACTTTTGGACCGAACAGTTTTGATTTTATGACCGAAAAAGGTATTATGAAGGGGTTCGCCTCGGGTAAATATCAGCATTCCAGACTCCAACCAGTCTTAAACATAGTGTTTAACACCTCCCTAGCACACATTTATTCCCTTACTAATGGACTTTTAATTCAAGTCATGACTTATGTTCAGCTAATGCTAGTATGGAGACGTTCTAAAGATAGATGACCCCAAAAATGTCTGCCGTCACTTTGTTTTTGGACAAAATGTCTGAAATGCACTATATAATAGCAGATTGGTGATAAGATTGTTCAGTTTGATGATAAAAGCATGAAATTTGGCACGCAGTCAGAATATGTCACGGGAAAGATATCTGGCTATAGGGCCATCGCAGATTTGTCCTTTGAAAAAAACACCATAGAATAGCAAGCAATTTTCAAAATTTTCAAAACGTTATTTTATGATATTTTTTTCAAAGGACAAATCTGCGATGGCCCTATTGCCAGATATCTTTCCCATGACATACTCTGACTGTGTGCCAAATTTCATGCTTTTATCATCAAATGAACAATTCCATCAAATTGTGCACCAATCTGCCCGACTATAATAATTTCCAAATTTTGGATAGGGCACTAATGAGTACATTTCAGACATTGTCATACACAGGGAGATTGTGGACATTCCCTTTTCACTCCATAGTGTTGGTTGTCATTGCTTCACTTACAATATTAGTCGGAATATTCATGTTAACGTTTGTGTTTTTTCATCTTGCAGCCCAATGTGAAGGCTTTACTTCAAAAGGCTGATTTAGATGGCATGTCTATTCACAGCACGGTACAGGATGCCCTCAGAAGCTTGGAAGAAAGTTAGTTTTTAATCCTTGATGACTGACAAAAAAATGTGTGCCTGTCCAAAGTTGTAGTTTCGAGGTGTGTTGCGCAAATGTTTCTAATGTTAACAAATGATTTCCAATAGTAAATGCAGAAAGAGCTTGCGAATGCTTTCTATGAGTATGAAAAACCTGTCAGGAAATGTGCACCTCTCTTTCCGTCTCTTTGATGGAAATTTATTGAAGTAACATGGTTGTTTGTGCCCTTGGGCAAGACACTTAACTACAATTCGGGCGTTTCACAATGCAGTGCACCACCAAGAGCCTGCCACTGAGAGTCAATTGTTCAAGTTTACGGTCGACAAAACATGGCCCATTTGAACGAGTGTCAGTAGACAACTTGAGCTAAGTTGTTATTGATTGGGGCATAGCATTCTGCCGCCTTACAAAAAACACCATATTGATAAAATGAAAAAAATAGGGCAAACAGATATGCGAATCATATGTTTACAAAACTACTGACCGGACAAACTAATAATTTCAAATAGCCCGCGCTGCTAATTTGCCGACCATCTCCCACAATGCACTGGGAAAATTGAACACTCCGTGACAAACTCTTGGTGGCGCACTACATTGTGAAAGGCCTGAATTGCCTCTCTCCACCCAGGAGTATAAATGGGTACCTGTGAGGGTAGAGGACCGAGAGAGAGACGCGGCTGCTGCATGTTCTCTTAGCCTGATGAACGGGGGAATAATTATAAAGCGCTGTGAGATTGTCGATACGATAGAAAGCACTATTTCAGAATTACAATTGCAAAATGTTCTAAACACTCGCGCATGGTTTCTTCGAAATACGGTGCGGCCAATGCACATCACGAAAATTTGACGCCCAAAATGCTGATGCACGTGGCAATCAGTAGGAAGTGACGTCGTTTGAGAGAGACCTATTCATAAAATCGGGGCCTTGTTTGTGTTTTCGTGTTTTCTGTAGATCCAGCATCTTCTACATTTTGACTTCGCTTTATTTTTTAGATTTACTTGAATACTTTTTTTGTTTGTTTTAAATCAGGCTGAGGAACTTTGAGAAGTTTACGTCCATCAACAAGTGTGTGCGTATCTTCCTGTAAGTTATGAATGATAAATGAAGTCGTCTTCCGACATTCTTGCAAACTCATCCTGTCTGCATTGCCTATTGCTACTTATTCCAAGACATAATCTTGCAAATTCATGAGAATAACGTGAATTCAAGTGAGGCAATGTTATTACTTTTAAGTGCTGTTCCAATGTACAAAAAGTAAAAGTGCCATAAAAACTGTGCAATTCAGTTGGCTGAGAACTGTAGTTATTTGCATTTATTAACCTTTTGACTTTCAGAAGTAATCGTACTGTTGGAGCTTTCTTTGTGTTGCCAGTCTTAAAGGTTTTTTTTTTAGATGAAGGCATGTTTTTGTAACAGTTGCTATACATATGTCAAAGTGGTATACATATTTATCTTCAAGCAAACTTGTTTCCTCGATCCTAATTGGTCAATCCATGGCAACAACGGTGTTATTATATACTGTATCGCAGGGTCTATATCGCACCCTGCGAATTGCGCTACATGTATTTCAAGATGCTAGCGACATTCTCACTGCATGCCCTAAACCGCTAAAATGTTCATGTAAAGCATGTGAGTTCCAACTTTACTGCGCTTAAGTTTGCTTAAAGATAAATTGTCATCACAATCGCACTCGTGGAACACGGAAAATGTAAAAAACTATAGTGTTCAACATACGGCCGAGTGGTATTCAGCCTCGTGGTATGTGGGACACAGACGCACTACATTAGTCCGTGTTCCATTGGTGCCCACAGGATAAGTAATAGTATCATTGGAACTACATGGACAGTTACAGATACATTCATTCTTAAGTATGCTGAAGGAAAAATATTCGTGGTTTGGTATTGTACACATAGCCAATATTAATATTAAAAGTTACGTTCTCCATGCTATTTTCGTATTTCATCCCGAAAATATATTCCATTTTTTGAATGAGACATTGACCAAATCAAATCTGCCCATGTTTAGTTGCTGAAATATTACTTTACAATTCAGAATTTATTGGCTGCCAGACAATAAGTACGTTCTCACGGGGTAGGCCGCTTCCCAACCCACAATCAGCATAGATAATGTACGGACCTGGACCGAAACCAGTCTGCTCGCAAAGTGGATCTGTTTGTGCCCAAAACAAAAGGCTTTTTTTCAGAGGGTTGCAAACATCCAAAAAAGAGAAGAAAAAGGAGGCTTTTTGCTTGGAATAAAAATACACAAGTTAAAAATTTATTTATAGAAAAGAGTAAAATTAGTGTACAGGAATTGCAACTTTAGTTTCCCTTTAATTTGGTGGGTGGAGGGGGGGGGGGGGGTGGTTAAGGGTGGTATTTACTCAACCCCCCCCCCCCCCCCCGATTTTGTAAACAGTGCCCTTTTTTCATGAGTGGCCTTTTTTTAGAATGTTGCGCAAATGTTTTCTATTGTGCTGGGTGGGTGACCAATCAAAAAACCCAGTCTACCTATTAGCACGGATGGGCGAGTGCCCTTTTTCACGTCTACCTCCCCCAATAAAACTGAAATTGCTACGTCACTGTACTTCACTTAGTAAAAGGTTTGGGCCAATACAATTATATTTCAGTATTTCAATATTTGAATGAGAAATTTATAAAATCCCTTGACACACGTTTTGAGTAGGCTTAAGTGGAAATTTCCCAAGATTTAATCATTCTACTTAAAGATGGAATGTGCTTTTATACCAAGAAAACAATTGGGTCATTCGTTTTTGTATCGTAGGCTAGTAATGTGAGATCATTGCCGTAATCTAACTTAGTTACTGTATTTTTACTATTACTCTGTAGTTTTTGAATTATTTTAAGTCCATATCAAGAGATTTATGGTTATCATAAGATTTACAACTATTTCCATGGAGAATTTCTAACAGAGAAGTTGAAATGGGAACAAATTTCAACAATTTTCAATGAGATTTTGCACTTTAAAAGCTGCGAAAAACTCTGGTGGAGACCTTGTAATCTACTTATGTTAATGAACTGCATGAAATCACGAATTTAAACAATGCATCGATAATATGTCAGCATATCTTACTATTTATTCAACTGTTCATTTTCTTATCTTTTAGATAACATGATATGTTCATTTACTATTATGACACTACCATTTACATCAATTTTTTAAGTACTTGACAAATAAATTAAATTTGATGTATGTTTTACACTCAGTATTAGTTGAAATATTTCCAATAAAACATATTTTGTAACATTTTTGGCTTTTGATGCCTCTGATCTGTTACAGTAAAATGTTACGGTACTCGTGCATCCTTTCCAAATATTCTGGTTTCAAAAATTGTGTCTATGACATTAAAGGTAATGAACATATGTACAACATTTGCAAACATCAAAGAAAAAAACTACCAAATTATTATGAAATACCTTACTTGACTGTTATTAGTCTCAAAGCTTCCTGTGAAATCATGCCACCTGGTGTGACTGGGATATCAATTTCGAGAAAAGTGGAATTTTTGTATCAATTTTCCAATGATGGTCGGCCGACCATCGTTGGGGGAAAAAAGACTTTTGTTTTTAAATACTGCCCCCAATTTACCAAATTTAGTCTATAGTTTGTTTGCCTTCGGGTTACACATCCGTGAATGGGTGCAAGCCAGCTAATCTGGTTACCTGACCCGACAATTCCCCGATGTCTATAAATTGCTCTGTTTTGTCCGAAGAAGAGTCAGGGAGCCAGACTACAAGAACATTTTTTTCTTGGTTTTTTCAGCAATCGATGAACACAAAAATTTAAACAGGTCATTGTAACAATAGTTGCTATAAAATACAAAACCCAAAATCCATCCATTTCTGAGAATTACAGCAAAAGCTGCATTTGGAAAGAATGTTGCATCCTGACGCGACTTTTTCATCATATATTATCTCAATGAAGGTCAGTCATTGCAAATTCAGTGAAAAGACATGAATTTGGGACTGAGAAACATTCCGTATTTTGGCAGAAAATACTTTGAAAATGCACTCCACTCTCCATAGACTTTGTACACAACCGAAGAAGTGGCGTCTGGATACTACATTCTTTAAACAAAAAGTCACCACCTATCGTAAATGTCTTTTCATTATAAACATCATAAAGGCAAGAATGTTTACTAGTATTAGACAACATTATAACTTAAGCAAAATGACGCTTTCAGCACTGGATTTGTTGTGCTTTGTATAGCGACGAGGGAAGCTCTATTTCTTTCTTTTATAAACAAAGTAAGATCTATATTCAGTTTGCCATTTTTGCTGTTTACTTTCCCCCTTACTGGGAAAAAGAGCAAATTGATAGCCGTGCCCTTTTAACCTAACTGAGTACCCCAAATATTCTGTCTCCAATTTTTTGTTTAAATTCTCCATAGCAAGTATTACCTTTTTAAAGTTTTTTCAAAGACTGAGCAAAATGATTTCCCCCCCCCCAAAAAAAAAACTGAGAAAGAACACCACACTAGATTACCTCTTGTCTTTTGCCCCAAACCGACATATTTGGTTACTACAATCGCATGCAGGTTTTAGCCTCCAACATTTCCCAGAATAGTTGATTTTTGGTATAGGCCTAAATGGATGCAGATTTTACCCCACGTCTTTAAAAAGAAATTTAGTTTAAAAACATGCATCATCAGGAACTATTGATAACGACATGTAATGACAAAAGAAGCACTGAATGTCATTTTGTTCTGGTGTTTGCATGCTTGGCGAGTTGTAGAATGTCCACTCCATTTTACAAATGTCATGCATGATCAACGCCATTAGGAGCTGGTAATATGTGGACGCAGTGTTTTCTTTACCCACTGCTTTCTGATAGAATAAACGAAAAAGAAAGAAGACAGTGGTGACATTTCATGGATATTAATCGGTTAGATTTGCAAATGGAAAAACAGAAAAAAAATTGTAGATTTGCCGGAGAATTCTTCTCGTGAATTTTCCTGTAACCTCGGACAAATTTTGCCTTTGAAAAAAATCAGTATACATGTAGGCCCTACCACACTTTAAAGCAACACCTTACCAAATTGAGAAGACAGGCAATTAAGATCGGCATTTCTGTAAAGGAGCTCTAAAATCAGCAGCCTACCGCCCAAATGGTTGGGGTTGGCAAGCAATGTCGTTGTTCACACAAAAAATATGATCATAAAGTCAATATAATTCTATGGCACTAACCAATTCGGACATGTAGGCCCTATTTTTGTCATAGGATCATTCACAACGTACATTAGATTTACGTACCTGTCTCCATTTCTTGCAGTCCCAGTCTTGCGTCTTCAATTGATGTAAAGACAGTCAACCCTGGTATCTCCGCAGCAACCAACTGACATTTGATATTATCCTGTTAGTGGAATTATACAATGCCACAGTGATCATCTTTATTTCTCAGACATGATGCTCATTTGGTTTTCGGGAAATGAAGTAAATATGTTGAGTAATTAAGGTGAACAAGTGATTCAATTATATTGAAGGGAGTTTATTGTATGATTTTTCTGGTACTCACCTTCACACAGGCCATTACTATTCTGACGTTTTCTTTCTTGAATGCATCAAGAATGTCGTAAAGATCCTGCAAATAGATGACAATCAAATCGACGACGTCATGTAGGCCTACTTTCTGATTATGTGGGACAAACTGAAATCGCGACAGCGATCGATATCACGTTCTACTAGTAACATTCTTTCACCCCACCTTCGATATACGACTCCGAATTTGATAGCTTAGGATAGGCCTGCTATCGACCAACCCACGAACCAATTTTGACCGATTGCTTCTAAAAATTACTGCACATTTTTTTTGTCGAGCATATACTGACACACCAAAAAGAGCCTTGGTAGGCGCCCCTATGCCCACTTTCAAAATGAAATAAATCCTTGGGGGAAAATATGGCTCTTAAAATGCTTGATAATACATGGACCTTGAATATGGATTTTCATACCTCAATTGCCGTGGTATCCATCTCCTTGGCGAATGTGAAGTCTAATATAACAGGCCTGCAGAAGTCGCCATGCAAACACTGTTTCGTAATACTGTCCACGATGTATCGGGAGGACGGGTATCGCATGCTGCCCTGTACACGGACGACCATCGCGGGATTGTCGCTCTGAATATGAAGAACAAAATGATGTACTGTCCACGTTTTTTGTTTTTCATCATAGGGATTTATGTATATATTCGCTATTATTTTACGACTTCCGCAGGTCAAAAAAGATTGAAGTTGGATCCATTTCTTTTGAGTTGGGACTACGGGCAGTTTGGGTATACCACTCCCTTCTGTCTACCAATAATAACATTTCATTTATGACGTCAAGCAATTTAGAAAATTTGGTTCATTTTTTTAAAACTTCTGTCAACTTCAACACCTCATCAGCCCCCCCCCCCCTTCCCATACGGTACAGCGGCCGCGTGTCATGTACAAACATACAACGTGTCACAGACTCCCACCTCGTGGTTCTGGAACGCACAAAATACTATTCGTGCAGGAACCGGATTTTAAAAAACATTTTCCAATTCGTTGTTTCATCATTGGCTTTGGGCGATTTCTTATAAAGCTCTTGGATTCGAACGCCGGCTAAATTTATGCCCTCCTTTAAAAATTAAAAATAGATACAATGCCAAATTTTAAATAATCAGAAACAGTTTTGTATAATGGAATTGGGTATTGATGTTGTCAGCTATCAGCGAAAAAAAATCTGGACCCGAAGCCAAACCAGATAGCCTATATACATCGAGGTTTCATTTCTGGTTAACTGCTGGTGATACAAAATTGACTTTCTCTCTTGTCTTTATTTGTTATAGTATTCGTGATTCGAATTGACTTGAGCTAAACATTTGACTCGACTCGACCTTCTTGACCTGATAACTCGACTCGACTCGAGTCACTTCTTTAAAATCATGACTCGACTCGACTCGAGTCACAAAAATCAGTGACTACTCTGGAAGAAACTGAAATATCTGGTGATGTATACCTTTGATGATGAGCATTCAATGCCTGCTGTCAGCAAAGATGGTTTGACGAACTCTATATTTGGTCTGGCCACGGGATATATCAGGATTACCAGGTCCAAGGCTACACCGATGACTACGCCATACTGGAGTCCAAGCACTAGACTGCCGATGAACGTGAAAGTGTAAGGAATTAAATCCAATTCTGCAAACAAACAATTTTTTTTTTTATTAACGATGTGGTGTTATAGAATAATTGAAATGCAGATTGTCAGTGATAAAACACTGAACTCTTGGACTTCTTTTCTGTAATTATTCTGCTCGGTTCTTATATTAGTTTTGTATTTAATATTTTTGATAATTTTAAAGTGTAAATAATTTTCACTTCAGTTGCGTTTGGCATTTTTGATTTAAATAAGCCATTTTCATTTGATTGAATCCAAATCGACTCCATGCACATGCATTTATAATATAATTGATTTAATGCCGTAGAAAAGCAAGCAAACACTTTTCGGTTAATTAAACCTAAGATACCTTGCAGTTGAGGCTCTGCATAAACAACTAGACAGTAATGCATCAGCCTACAACTTCAAATCTGAAGTTAGTGGATCATGTGAAATCGCCCAAAACTATACTCAAGTGGAGTTTTTGGCAATTTCATATGACCCGTTAAATTCTTTTTCTCAATACACGTAGGCCTATGCCACGCGTTTCTTTCAGAGTCAAACATCTCACTATTGTCACTTCACTAACCCATAGGCCTAATACTCGAGTTTGTTAACCGTAAACTTTTCACGGACATTTTAACGTTAAAGGAAACATGCAGTGGAAATTCAGCTCGTCTTGTTTTCATGCACATTACTACATGTGTTGCAACAAAACATACAAGATCTTATACTTGTTTTCATGCGAAGCGACAAGAAAGTGGTAATATTTCAAATATAGCAAGTCCTTTCATCAATATACAATAAGAGGGCGCTAATTTGCTTTTGTCACACAAGGTACTCCTTGTCAAAAGTGCACTATATGAACAGTACAAAAATTAGTCCTTCAAAATAACCCACAAAAAAGTCCAAACAAGCTAGATAAACAAGTAAAAAGTGGAAATTACTCCAAGAAAATGAAGAAAAGTTTGATATGTCTACACAAAGCTATATATACTGTTCTGCCTTGAACGACATCACCCTTTGGCTCATAAATATGGACATTTTCATTAAAGCTAAAATGTTGAAGTTTCTCCATTTTACTGCTACAAAGGAGGTGGAAAGTCATAGTAACATGGCAAGAAAGCTGTTTTAATTGTATTTAAGTCATAAAAATCTCACTTCTGACTTTCCAAAATGTCTTGACAGCGGCCGGGTCGACGAGCTTGAGCAATGCACTGATGATGACAGCAGCCAGAGCAGCCTTGGGAATGTAGTAGAAGGCCGGCGTGAGGAAGGCTATGGCTAGCAGAACTATGGAACCTGTGACCAGGTTAGCTAACGGCGTCCGTGCACCACACTGCGCCATAATTGCAGATCTTTCAAGACCAAGAAAAAAACAATTATGGTCAAGGACAACTAATATAACACAAAAGTTTGCTGTGAATGAATTCTTCAAATAGAGTTAACATGTAATGTACAATACCTTTGTAATTTCGAAATGGAATCTTCTATGTCAATAGCAAATCAAGCCAAAAGAAGTATTAAGAACCGACCTTGAGAAACTGCCAGCAACCGGGTAGGCAGAGACAAAAGATCCCGCCAAATTAGCCAATCCTGCAAGACAAGACAGAGGTGAAATCACATTATCAAATTTACCGTGAGTTGATTGCTGTGCTTCGCCGAGATACGCTTTATACATTTTAACCCTTTGGTGAACATGTCAGGTGGTTCATATGAGATATTTTACAAGCATGTGCCTTTTGAAAGTTTTTTTTTAATCCAATATCAAAGTTTACTTGGTGTTGTATAAAACTTAGCATCGCAAGGCGTAAGGGTGACCGTCAATGTTTGAATGGTCAAAGATACAGAACGTATTGTATTCTTTGAACATTCAAACAAATTGTACAGACATTTGAACTGTTTTGCTGAAACTTCATCTTATCATGTGTGAGCTAATATTGAAGAGAATATTGTAATGGTTCCACTCCCTGGTCCAAAATGATAGGGATATACTGTGTCTACCTCATGGCGAAAACAGTGCATGGTGAGGTTATTTGTCATTTTCTATCGGTACCAGCGAAGATTTAATTTCTGTCACTGAAGAATGCAAACAATGAAGATGCTCTTACCACTTGCTATAAACTCCTGGTTTGCATCAATCTGGTAATTGTTCTTTCTCCCTGTGATAATCATACACGATTTTGTCAGATTATTAAATTTGGCAACGGGATTGAGCAGTTTCTTTTAATGTCGAATTACGTAAAAAAGAAAACCCGTTAACCCGAGTCAATAGACGAATTTGGGCACGTGATCGCTGTACACTCGCGAGGCCCCCTTCAATGGAGAAACCATTATGAATGCCATTGTACAAAGCAACTGCCCCGAGACGGATTATCTGAACAATAGCTAGCACAACGTTTTCGCCATTGAAGGGGGCCTTTGTGACAGAAGTGATAGCATGCCCATCAGATTGGTATAGTTGAATCTTCAAAATCCATACATTCTCAATTAGTATCTTTGTTATAAGCGTTTTTAACCGTAACAGTGACCATTAAAATTTTTGCCAAATCGTCATTTGTATGCCTGCGCTATCAAGAGTACATTAATTGACAAGTGTTATCTATAAAAACATGCCATGCAAACTAGGTTCTTTACTTGTGTAGCACTTACCAAAGGACCTTGCAGTTGCAATGGATTCCACAAAGCCAATGATGGGTACCAAAATAATAGCGGTATTCAGTACCTATATGAAAACCATTGCCAGGTAATATATAATGGTTTAATATACAGTGATTTATACCAGTGTATTTTTTCTTTCTTTTATGACATTGAAGATGAATTGTTCATCAAATGTTAGAGTTATAGTCATATCTTTTATTCAATAACATGAATGATGAAACCATTTGTTTCGTTGAGTTCGTTCATGATAACGATCCTGATTCTTTTTTCATTGACGGAAAGTGCCGCTTACGGAGCTGTGAGAATCGGCTAAATTTACGAAGGTATTTTAATGAAGGTTCAGCTTCATTAAATTTCTAACATTTATATATTTCATTTTTTGGTAATTCGTGTGAGTTGTTATTATGTTTCACCCACTTGCATAAATTACCCTCCATCACACGAAAGTTTTGCTTGAAAACGACGTACGGTACTCAGTTTTATCTTCAATCTCGAAGGTATGGTCGTTGTACCGTTGTACAGTCATTTTACAGCTATAGGTCCTATTTGTATAACAAGTACAGATTTTTTTACCGAAGAAAGTGAAACGTGAAAGCCGAAACAAGACAAAGAAGAGCTTAAAAACACATTTAAAAAAACTTTATACATGTACCTCAAACCAGTCTGGTGTGTTGAATGCAGGCACTGCGAACGGTGGTAGACCATCGGTGATCGGTCCGGTCAGTGTGATGTAATCGGACTTCCCCGTCTCCTCCAGAATCCACGCAGTCACTCCGGAGAACAGGATGATGATAGCATATCGAGCTAGAGACACACAAAAATGGATGATGTTCAATTCTGGGTTTTGCTTTTCAAGGAAATGCAATACAATGTATCTAAGGCATTGTATAGATCAATCCGAGCACGCTAGCAATTCTATCACGATGGCCCCCTTTAATGGCGAATGCATTGTGCTAGCTATTATTCAGATAATCCATTATGGGGCAGTTGCTTTGTACAATAGCGTGCACAATGGTTTCTCCATTGAAGGGGGCCTCGTGAGTGTGTCCTGATCACGTGCCCGGATTCGTCTGAACCCATGCTGTTCGAATTAAGGCTTGCTAGAAAAACAAAGTACGCTCACTCGGGTGGGCCTTGAACCCATCACCCCCAGCTTACTGCAAATTCCACTCTACCACCGCTGAGCTTGTCGGGACGGTTCGAATCTTGTCGGGGCCGGGACGGTTCGAATCTTGCTGGGACGGTTCGATACCGCAATCAATACTTGCTGAATCGTACTTCTTACATAATAATTGCAGCATTCTTTAATTTTTGTCACTTGCAATTTTTGTCGTGGCTCACTGAAGTGATTTATCATTAAATGCATGCTCCACGCCGTCTCCAAATATACAGAAGTAAGTTTCTACGATAGCCAGTACTAACTGAAGGGGATCCAATCGATAAACTCTTTAAAAATGTTTGTTTGCTTTTTTTTTTTTTTTTTTTTTTTTTTTTTATATTTTTGAACTATAAGTTATACCAATTCCGACCAGCCAGAGCAGGTTCCATATATATCGCTGCAATCTATGGGGCTCGTAAGTTTCATCCTTTTCCCATCGTAAAATCTGATCCTTCAGGGCCTGAAATTTAGAGAATGAATAAATCGCTTTTTATCATTAAAAATGATAAATTCAGAAAGGTATGTAATGTTTCTTTCACTATCGTGCTGGTTTAATGACAAATATTCTACTATGGTCCAGGTTGTCATATGATAATATCCTCGTGATAGTCTTATTGGATATTTATGTCATTGTCAAACTAATATTTTGCCTATAGATTGGTATTTAGCAATGACATATGACAAATATCACGCTTCCCATCGGACTTGGCTGTCTGGCAGTTTAAAGTCGTATGGCTAAGATTAATTACATACTACCTTAATCTAGTAAAAACAGAATAACAAAATTGATTTTTATGGCAAATCATAATGACAATCGTACCTCATATTTGTACAGTTATAAAATGGAAACATCAAATTTTAAATGTTGATTATCCCACAATTATTCCTGATAAATAATTCGCAACCTATGGATGCAAAAAAAACCAGTCTGGTCTGATGTAACAAACATCATGAAATATGGTCAACAAATCTAAGATGTTAAAACATAAACCCAAGGACTATGAAATACTGATGAATTCATGAACCAGTCAAATATTAACATGGTGTGCCAAAGCGCACTTTGTATTTGTTGCAATCGTTTAACAGACTTGTATGACTCGTGAGTCGGACTCAAACTCGAGTCACGATGACCACGACTCAGACTCGGACTGGGACTGGGACTCGGACTCGATGTTTGGTGACTCGAATGCAAATATGTCGTTTAACTTTGGCTTATACCTGTAACAAGAGCAGAACTATCATGCAGACAGAGCCAAGAAGCAGATCCCAAGGTCTGGAATAAGACAAGAATAATACAGTCACATGAATTAATCTGTCTACTTATCACATTTTTTTTTATTAATGGTTTTTCCTATCTTCTGCTGAGAAGCCACATCATTCTCCCTACGTGGGACAACATTAATTGGCAGATGCATGATTGAGTATAAAGAGAGTGAGTTTTGAATACGGACAGTGATTAATTTTTCACATTTGAGATACTCTTGTCCTTTACATGCATGATCAACGTAAAAATGAAGGAGGGAATTGTGACTTAATTTTGCCGTTTGCATTCCAATTTATGACACGACCAAAAAGGGAGCGATTTATCTGACCCCAAATATATCTGACCCCAATTACAGCTAGTGCAGTTTTCTCGAGGCCAAAAAAAAAATCATCATAACGCCGCTACCTATCAAGGTGGTGAGTGGCTGACTGCAAGCAAGAAATATAGAATCAAGATATTTAAAGAGAACGAAGGAACTTGATAATATTTCGCTTTACGTTGTAACAAACTTATAAGCAGTACCTTGGCAAGGAGTTCCAGAGTGAGGCAGTATAGACCGTTATCATGTTGCGGCCAAAGCGAGGCTGGAGGGAAAAATAGTCTGATTCCCTTTTTCACAAAAACATTATCATTCAGTACTGTTGTTGGATACAAGGAACATGACTGAAATGGTGGCAGCATCACGATAAAGGTCTATGCTTGGAAAGAAACTTGGAGAATACATGGGAGGATCCTGCTTTGGAGCAAGGAGGGTTCATTAGATGCATGATTTTCCTATTTGTTTGCGGCCCAAGAGAAGGGGGAAGATCTCGTAACCCCGCCCCGTAGATCCGCCAATGTAGTTCACAGTGACATGCCTTTTGAACACAAACGGTATGAAAAAAAGGTAACACATCAAATAGAGTGTGAATTTAATAATATACCTAGTTTTGGGGATATTCACAAGGGTCTCGATGAAATTCTGGATGAAACTGCTCGACTCGAATGTCAATCCCAGTATAACTCGAAGCTGGTCAACGATAACTATGATGGCGGATGCGGACGTGAAACTACTGACCACGGCCGAAGAGATGAAGGAAGTTAAGGAACCTGTGGAGACAGAAGGGCACTGAGATGATACAACACAGGTAATTGGTCAAACATTTTGGACACAAACAGGTCCGTGCCGATGGGATTTTTGCACAAGCCTTCGCATCACACGTTTAGGTTTTCTAATATTTTGTCGTCATGGAAGTGGCTTCTAAACAGCAAGAGGGTACTCTGGCGTTAGAGATTAATGACGTGGTACCCGGCATCCAGGGTGACCGTTTTAGCCGATTTTCGGCTAACTTTGACAGATTAAAAAAAAAAGAACGAGTTTGACAGAAAATTTGACAAAATGGATTTTTTTGGCAGATTTCTGGCAGAATTCTGCAAAACTGGTTATTTGACAGAAAAACAGCAAATTTAAAAAAAATGTGTTCATTTGTTTAAAAATGCTTCAACTTTTCAAACAAACCCTTGTATAACGGGACAGATTGGCTGGTGTAGGACTTCGTCGTGACGCAACCGCGAATTGCCTGAAGTTTACGTAATAATTTCATAACATCTTTATGTGACTACACATTGTTTATAATGTAATTTGAACCTTAATTGAGGCAATACTACAACATCTGCATGTGATTTTAAGTGTTTATAGTGTATTTCGAGTAATTCTGGGGAATTTAGGCGATTTTTGATAAATCTGACAGATTTTTGACGTGCATTTAACAGAATTTGGCAATGACCTTTCGGTCACCCTGCCGGCATCGCCTTTTTTTAAATGAAGTTGGGTGTACAAAGTAGCAGTGTAAGCTATAGGCCCTATATGGGGATTGGTATAAATTAATAGGCTTAGGATGAGTATAAAGTCTGGTGTTATAAATTCTAGTTTTATAAAACTGGTACTGGTTACATGGACTTATACCTAAATGGAACAGCCCGATTGAAAATTGCACTATCCCCACGAAGAATGCTAGAATAACGGCGTAGACGTGGTCGTTGTGATCCGGGTTGACGGCCGAGACTTGCCCGTAGGACGAGACGAGTAGAGACATCACTGACGTGGGTCCGATAGCCATATCCCTGGTTGTACCCAGCAGCACATAGACAAAGCAACACATGAAGGACGAGTATAGACCATACTATCAGAAAAGCAAAGAATGAAGTGTGTCATTTCTTGGAGCTCAATTAAGAAGAAATTTAAATTTACACTTTCAATTTGTGATTAAAACAAGTCCACAAGTATAGAAGTATTGAAGCATCTTCAAGAAGCCGGAGGTTATGAAAGAATGCCTTAAGAAAAAAAGATTTTGAATCGTAGTCAACAACCAGTTAAAATCATATCAATCAGAAGTCAGTCCGGCAAGCCAAATCACATGTCAATCGCAATCAAATCATTAAGTAAAAGACTTTAAAACAGGGATGAAATGCCTTCTAAGAGTTCATTTGAATAGCTTGCCACATGACTTATTGATTATAACTCTACGATACTCCAAAAAATAACAGACTCTCGGAGAATGAAACATTATTAAAACCTCAACACTGAATGACTAAAACTGAACAACAAATGAAGCACTTACCTCAATGCTGAGTTTGGCAATGCTAGCGTATGCCATACCCTGCGGAATCACGGTGATTGCAACGGTGAGTCCTGCAATGACGTCACGGATGACGAAAGCGGGCTTGTACCGTGGTAGCCATAGAGTGATGGGCAGTCGTTTCCTCCAGCTGTCTAAGGAACAGTATTCCTTGGCTAGGTTGCCAATATTGACAGGCATTTTGGTTTGATGTCCAAGTCGACGGACCGCGATTAATGCGCCGAAGATGTAATCACTGTTATATCAGCATAACAACTTCCAGTGTCTTTTGCTCGGAATATTTCGTCAAAGACACCAAACAACCAACTTGCATAAAGCAAACTTGATTAAATATTAAACATGTTTGTTGGAATGTACTGGTCGACTTGGGGTTCACAGAAACCAAACAGAAAGACTATCACTAGGCCTACAAATAAAACTAGTACGAGCAATACATGACATTGAACAGGTCTGTATTGCGATTTGCCATGAACTTTTAGACTAGGATAACAAAGTTCATAGAGATTATATGCCCGCCCTTTGTTATTGCGTTTACATTTCGATGACAATCATCATTGACTGGGAGACACCTCATGATTTATCTGGTGCATAGTTCAATTATTGCCGAATGACCAATGTCAGATACAGGTCTTCAGTAGGGGAAGAAGGGGGTCGTGTTAGCTATGGAGATTTGTGCCGAAGACGCACGTACCCCATTCCAAACCTCAACCTAGATGCTGAACTGCTCATATTCTGCATTATGTAGCTACTCGACCTTATAATTCGCGCAGCGAAGCCCGTGTCGTGTCCCCGTCGTAAAAACAAGACAAAGTAGTTTGTAGGCCTACATAATAATGGGTCAAGTTGTTTTATTAGACGGAAAGGACCCAGATTCCTTGGACAACTTCTCTATTTTTTTTCTTTAAGTTTTTTCTTTTTGAACTTGAAGATTACATCTCCTTTATTGCTCCCAACTACAATGTACTTGTTTTCATACAAAAGATCAAATCTACAGCAGGGTCAGATCCAACTTTAGCTGGCAATTAAACAGTCGAGGGATCATAATTGATTAAACTCAGTGACCACATTCTATGGCAAAACACCTGATCTCATCAAAAGGTAAATATCAAAGCAAAAAATTTTCCCGAGTTTATTTTGGTGTAGACTTTTTCTGTCCACATCGAATAGGCCACAACACCTGCACTAACAGTCATACGTGGTCTATGCATGTGTAAACATAATCCACACACCGGTTTGTGATATCACGAAGATCCAACACCGTTCACCCTGCACTTTGATCAAAGTTAATCATTAATAAACTTCGTAAACATTATAATCCGCGGTAAATGCGTAGTGCAGTGCCATAAGGCGGGTGTTTCTGAACTGCGCTTGGTATACTGCTCTATGCACACAATCCACATAACCGAAACAGTCACTGTGAATGTTTTATTCGCACTGATGCTCCAATGATGATGACCGGCTAGACATCCACATCTGTGAAGCATCAAGGTAAGACACAGAGAGCATAGGCATAAGCGTTATTCTCTTGCTCTCAACTGCTTACAGTTTGGGTCGGTGTATGTACACGTTCTGTATGTCTGCAGATTGGCTGCCTCCTCTCATCATTAGGCTAAAAAAAAATACTTCTGCTTCCGATTACATGGCATCTGAAATAGGGTAGGTAGGGAATTTTTTTTGGGCTATTTTGTGTGTGTATGATCATATGGAGGCGTCTGCGTGTAGTCAAGGCTAAAAGGTATAAAGTGATGGTTTTGGTGGGGTTTTTTTTCATTTCCAATAAAAAAAAATTAGGGTAGAGGCTGTCAGAATAGGGTAGGTGTAAGGAAACCGGAAGCAAAACTATTATTTTTTGGCCTTATCCATATACCGTTTTGTGTTCCATGGTCTGGTGTATTTTATGACGGGCTATTCCTCAAGTGTTGTTCCACCTTCTGCCTTATCACAGTGGTAATCCTTGCTAGCATCCTGCTTCCCCATATTTATTTATTTACTTTTTTGCAAACCGCCACATCCAATGGCATTTGGTTTAAATGTTATTTTGGCAAGTCGAAATTATATCTATGTTTTTTTGTAATGAATAGAGCACTTGTAAAGTATCTTGTTTACCGCTGCATGTTGGATGTATCTTAGTAGGCCTATCCGTACCATGTAAGACAGCAGCCCAACACAATTTCCCGGATGCTCATTTACCTGTGTTCATCTCCACTACAACAGGAACCATGAGCGAACCCACGATGCGTTTTCAACTCAAGAAATTCAAGCAGATATTTCTGCTGTGTGCCGTCATGATTGTCGTGTATGTCATGACTGTGGGAATCGACACTGCAATCGACTGTTACCAGTTCTGTCTTGGGTAAGGCTTTTCGGTCCCAACATGAAGTTGTTCCTTATAACATTCAAAAATATCAAAGGCGGTTTGGAATATGTAGCAGGTTCTTCACTATTGTAAAATTGTATTAGGCATGCAATATGACCCAGCATGCAGTGTAAAACTATTAATTGCTGACCCATATACATTTCATGTCATGTATGTAGTCAAGTCCATCGCATATCGCAAGTCCATCCTGGGCAAACCACAACTAGGCCTAAATGTCCAACTTAAATTCGATGTGATCTACATGTATGAAAAAGGAATGTCTTCAGCACAGCTCATTTGAGTAGCTTGTCACTCGACTTGGGACTCGGAGACTCGATTACTTGTGAGTGACTTGTGCCAACTTGAGAAGATTTGACTCCAACTTTGTATTTTTACATTCAGTTAATAATTTTCCACCCCGGACACAAAGTGAAAATCCCTAAACTTATGCATCCGTACCGTTTTGATGTTTGCTCACAGATTTTCACACCAGTCCAAAAATCTACCATTTTTGCTAGGAAGGATGTCGATGATGATACTGTACTATGGAACAAATATGGCTTTCACTGCTCATTTCCTCATGCACACTTGAACAAACTTTTGAAAATAGTTTGAATGTCTTGACATTCTTTTAAAAAAATGCTTTGTAAATCTGTGCAAGTCCTAGGATAGGGAGCTTGTTCGAAATGCTGAAGTTTCTCGAGAAATATGTTTCTTTCAGTGAGTACATGTATACATGTAAGTGACAGTCAAGAATATTTTCCTGGTTTTGTCTTAATTTCAGCATGACGATGAGAGTGATGAAACACATGTCGTTAACGCATTTTTCTTTCTCCAGAGAGAAATGCTTCAGTTCCCGTCTGACCATACTCGTTTACCGGAAAGATGTCAGTCCAAAGGATATGGATTTTCTCCAAAACTTTCGCCCAAACGTCGGCGTCTACAAGTACGCCGCCGATCACCTGTCGGGACAATTTGACTCAGAGTCTTGCTCCATGGAAGACCACTTTTCTCAGTTCACCACCCTCCCAGCACAGAACAACTGCGCCATCATTGGCAACAGTGGAGTCCTTCTTCACAGTAGCTGTGGGAGGGAAATCAACTCGTACGACTACGTGATTCGGGTCAACCTTCCACCCTTGAGAGGCTACGAAGACGACGTGGGTTTCAAGACCAACCTGACCCTCCTCAACTTTGAGACCCTCGTCTACCTGCACAGCAATCTCACCCAGCGGAAACTCGGGGAGGAGTTCTATGACATGTACGTGAACAGGGTCTTGTTCCTGAACGACTCCGTGCTGTGGTACGGGAAGTCCATGGGTCCTAGAGAGACCAGGAAGCGACTTCAGCAGTCAGTGGAGATACTGAAGACGACCTACCAGTTGCCTATCCAAATTGGCTTCAACTGGAGACCGCTGCATCCAGAGAAGTACGTCACAGACTTGCAACTTACACTAAATGTCATCAATTCTTAAAATGCAAAGGTTTGATACTTAAAGATTAGAACCCTAACCCCCTAGTACTTCCTCAGGTCTACCCTGCTAAATCCAACAGAGTCCAACCGGACTTTCCTGCTCAATCCACTGTGCCTCATTTTCAGTTGTCTGCTGAATCCAACGGAGTCCAACATGGCATTATAATTTGGTTCAGTTGCCTGCTGAATCAAGCATTTTGCATGAGGAATGTACACAAGGGGTTAACTGCTCAATCCAACAGGCTCCATCGGGTATGTGACATAGTTGGATCCTGTTGGATTCAGCAGGGTTAGGGATCACTATATACAATTCTGCAGAAGTAATGCATGCTGCCATTTAATCAGTTTTAGATATCCACATCAAAGGGAATTTCAATAAATACCTTAACCCAAATACTCCGGAGGCATTACTGCTATGAACCTTTCTATCGCTCCAAAATCCATGACAGTTAAGGAAACCAATGTGAGACTCCTAATGGGATCAGTTCTGATGCTAAGTAGTAGTGTCTCAGTCAGTGTTGTTGGTCTCGGTCTCAGACCTCCAGGGCCCAATTTTTCAGCTCTGCTTACAGTTAGCGAAAAAGCCCTGCTTACTATAGCAGAACATTCCGTGCTTACGGTAAGCGTATTTCACGCCTTAGCAAGGAATTTTGGCTTCTGTGCATGCCAACATCCCGTAACTAAGGATTCTGTGCTTACAGCTTTAGCACAAAATTTTTCAGCAAGCGCGGTTGGCAAAAAATGGTGATCGTAAGCGCAGAATTCTGGGGTTAGCAGCGCCATGAAATTGGGCTCAGGTCTCGGCCTTGGACTTCCAGGTCTCGACTACAACATTGGTCCAAGTCCTACCTTCCTCAATGCTACAAAATTCTTCAAAACCTGGTTACGAGTGATTCAACAGGATTATGCCTAAAACCAATGTGGCTCTTGAATCGTATATCTTTGATTAACCCTCCTATGCAAACATGCATTCTGAGCCATGCTGTTACTTGGGTCTTAATTGGTCAAGTGACCATTGGTGTGTTAAAAGCATACCAGGGGAAGTGACCTTTAAACAGCAGGGGGGGGGTAATAAACTAGACCTTCAAGAATTCATTTTGTCCTTTGTGTAGGTTTGTGGGCATGAAGCGCCTTGCTACGTCTGGCTTCATGGCATATTACCTGGCCAAGTCGTTATGTAAGAGCGTCACGCTCTACGGATTTTATCCCTACAACAAGGACGCGAGAGGTTTCCATATGCCCCATCACTACTACGAAGATGTTCCCTACGACTACAACAACCCCATCCATAACCTCTTGTGGGAGTTCAAGAAGTATCGGGAGTACGAGACGGAGGGCCAGCTGCGTATGGTGACCGAGAAGTGCGCTGACGTGGAGGACGATACGAGATGGAAAAACGAGGACCATGAAAAGCCAATCGGGGACTTACTGTGGTTTAAGAACCAGAAGCCATGAATTTCTTTAGGACCAACCAAAAGCACCGGGCCTTAAATATCAACAGAGGAAAAAAAAACCCAAAAAGCACCATCCTAGACAACTCTGAAATAATCCAGGAAAATGGGAAGTGAACGCTTGAATGCAAAAGGAAAAAAGGTGAAGGTGTCTTCTCGCAGTGTAATTTCTTCCGTTCATTTCTGTTCTTTATAGTTTTTAGCTTACACCTTGCATGGTTCATGGCCTTGTGTTTGGGTGATAAAAAAACCCAGAAGTACATGTAATTGGGAAGACTACAACTGGTTACATGTTCATGTACATGGATTCAGTTTTATTACTCATAATTATTGCTGTGTACAATGAATAAAAAAAAGAGTACAATCCATGTGTTTTAGATCAAATTTTGTTATGCAGCAGAGAGATACATGTCTCATGGTCTACAAGCTCTTTCAACGTCATGTTGGCTGGCCAGTCGGTTGTGCAAATACTTTCCACATAAAAAAAAATGCATTAGAGGATGCAAAAGCCAACTTGCAAAAAAACATTACAAAAAATGAAGAAATTGAGATTGCCAATTTGCTTATCTTGGTATAAGCTTAGCATTCCTTGGAGTAATGTCCATGTAGCAAACACAGGTTATTTTCTTAAGGCTTGAATACTGAGGTATTTGGAAGGGTGTAGTAGAGAGGTTAAGATCTTTCAAGAGGGGTATCAATTCCAGTTAATCGTAACCCTGCCAGAGGCAACACAATGCAACAGGTGTATAAATCTGTGGGACCTTGCAGCATTGAGCCATCAACACCGATGCATAAAGTGCCAATTCTGAAACAATGGGAGCTAGTCCCATTAGGCCTTTTCACACTAGAGTCTCTCAACCCGGGTTGAACTCGACCCTGGGTGAACCCAGTGCCACCCCCGGTTAAGTTTTTGAATTACAACCCCGCATCGTTTCACACTTGTGTAGTGCAAACCCAGCTTATTTTGTTCGGTTACTACTGTTTTGAACCCTTACGAGATGTTCAAACGGGGTTGAAAATCTCAACCAAAGTCTGGGGCAGGGAGGAGTTCGACCCAGGGCGAAATCAATCTCAGGGTTGGCGCAGGGTTGGTGATGGGTTGAACATGGGTTGAACATGGGTTGAACATTTTCAAGTGTGAAATGCTCCATGTTCTCAACCCCTACGTCAACCCCTTGTCAACCTCGACATTTGTCTAGTGTGAAAAGGCCTATTGAACAGTGCCACTGTTGTACCCCGTTGGCAACCACAGACATTGAGGCACTTTGGCCTTGAGAAATTTTAACCTGATTGATCTTGTTACACCTGTTAAGCAGGATTCTCACTTTGTCAAATGTTGCATGATGTTGCTGTGAGCAGGGTTTCTAAACAAAGTATCCTGAAGGGTTAAGATCAAGCAAAGAGGTGCCACGTATACACCTGATTTTTGAAAAACAAGACTCCAAAGCATTAAAGCATCTTAAATGCTCAGCGAAAATGTCTCATTAATGTCTCCTTGTTTTCTTCGAGTTGCCTCCTTTCTTTCTCTTAGTTGTCTTAGGCAGTGCCTTCTTGGATATTTTGGTCTTCTTCCCTGATTTTCCCTTTCTTCTATCTCCCTTGTCTGCCTGCTGTGATGCCTGGGTTTCCTGTATCTCCTTGTTGACGGCCTGTGAAACAAAACAATTTGGGACAACCATTAAATGATTATCAAAGTTTTGCAAGGGCTTGAAAAGAAAGCCAACATTTCCAAACACAAAGAATCACGCAATTTTTGTTTTAAAATACAGTAAACTCCGGCTAAACCGACATCGTACAACTCGTCAAATTGCTCAAGTCGGCCGTCTGACGAAAGTTCCGATTGTCCGTAATGCATTTCCATTGAATTTTTTATTTCTAAGTTGGCTTTTATAAGTCGCCATTTCGCTCAAGTCGTCGTGTTACTCACGGTCCCCTTTCCATAAAAAGCATTACAAAATCCTTTGTGTAAGTTGGCATTGAACAAATCGCGCATTGGCATCGACTTCCTGTACTGCAGTTGGCAAAGTGTCGAGTGAAAAGTGGTTTCGCACGGCCCGTGATCGCTGCATGCATCGGTGCTGAAAAAGGGTGTCCTACTGCATACATCGCATATGCATCGTGAGCATATCAATACCAGTACTCCCTCTAGGCTGTACGCATGCGCTCTGTCCACTTTGGGGGTCGTCTTATTGAATGACTACTGCTGCAGTCAATGCGTGCGTGGTATATACCAGACCATGCACACATTTAATTCGTTACTGTGCATGTACATATGTATCGTGGTCTCCACTATCAATACCCCAAACGTGATGATACAATTCAAGGATTAATTTGCTGGATTCAACTCAAGCATTAAGGAGATATTCCAGGGTAAATCGAAGCCAAGTAGTGCAATGAATCATGTGTGCAAAAGACCATTATGTTAGTCAGCAAAATGACGACTTACAGCAGATAACGGCATTCGCATAAGTCATCACAAATTCTCGGGTCCCGAGAGAGCCGGTTTAGCCGGAGTTTACTGTACTTGCTGATATTGCCTCAAAGTTTGTGGGGTCCTTTTAATACTCAAAAATATAGAATTCTGCTTTTAATCCATTTCTAACACAGTTGTGATTATCCCATCTCCAAAGTTGTTATTGCACACCACTTGTACAGATAGACACAATAAACCTATTGCTGCAACCTGTGTGTTGCTGAACCACGGCCAAACTCTCAAAACCCTTTGTAAAAATGTCTTAAATATTACAGAACAGTGTTGAGCAGAATAAACAAGTACTTTGTTTTTCCTAGCAGGAGGGACCTACATAAATATTTACTAATTTTCATGGTTTCTAAATATTTTGCGGGCATCCTCGTCCTTGAGAGGTCTCCGCGTTGATTAACTTTGGAAAATTGTAGAGTCTTGACAAAGTGCCAACTGACAGTCCTATACTCACCCTAGTCACGTCCATTTTCGGCTTCTTTCTGTTCATACTATCCAGAATGGCCAACTCTCGGCTGTGTTCTTTCTTAATATCACCGCACAGGGGATCAAACTGTGAATACAAACACACTCTGCATGAAAAAACTCTGCAGGCAGAAAATTCTGAAGCACAGAGAATCGGAGCCAACCAGTCAATGGAAACAATGACAACATGACTCCGTACACAGTAGCTGATCTAAAAGGGGGGTTTGGGGGGTTGAACACCTTTCAGCCGCTGACTAATTAATGTTATGATACTAGTACAATGGGGCAAGCAATTTATGGAATGCTAAAGTTCCTAAACCTATTCTCGAATTGCTTTAGAATGCAGGAGATAGCAAGGTAGATTTCAAGCCGGACCCCCATAGCCGGCGTGCCTTCAGCACGCCTTCACTCAAACTCCCCCCTTTCATATCAACTCCCACTTCCTGAAAGCTACAATCCCGACCAAAACTCGCTGGGCCCCACCCCTGGCCCCCGGCCAATGTTGTCTCTCATTGCACGGTGTGTGCTCAAGCGCGAGATGACAACATTGAGCAGGGGATCGGGGACCAGGGGAGCGGGGACCAGGGACGGTATGCTCATTGTGTGGATGTTTCCCAACCATTTTAGCCGGAATTGTCTGAATGTATGTACCCTGGATTGGATGTGGAGAGGGAGGGAGTGGACCGGGGAGCGGGGGACCGGGGGAGGGTATGCTCATTGTGTGGACGTGCCCCAACCATTTTGGCCGGGATTGTCTGAATGTATGTACCCCGCATTAGATGTGGAGAGGGAGGGTGTGGACCAGGGAGCGGGGGACCAGGGGAAGGTATGTTCATTGTGTGGACGTGCCCCAACCATTTTGGCCGGAATTGTCTGAATGTATGTACCCTGCATTAGATGTGGAGAGGGAGGGTGTTGACCAGGGAGCAGGGGACCGGAGGAGGGTGTGCATATTGTGACGTGTCCCAACCATTTTGGCCAGGATTGTAGTTCCATAACAAGAACAAAATACTGGAAGGGTCAGCTGTCAAGCTACGGCGCTAAAATAACCAGAGAGACAAAGCAAGAATGGACAGAGATGAAGTTAGTTGCCATAACATCCAGGGCAAGGACTGTGGGAGAACAGGAGCAGCATCTTCTGAAAAGGAGCATGGCAACCGCTCCTTGAATACGGATGAAGATGAGGATGGTGACCATGGCAAAAAGAGAAATCTCTAAAATCCAGGAAGAAATTGTGATTTTCACTTACCTTTCTTCTTTTGCCCATTTGCTTTGTGATTGGTTCCTTGGGCTGTGAAAAGAAATGAAAAGTTCAAACAACTAGAAAAAAAAAACCCAGTGGATCAGCTTTTTTTATGAAGAGCCTCAAAACTCAAAGGGAATTTACGTAAAGATTGTTTACATCAGGCAACACAACTCTTTATGTGGCCTTTACGGCAAAACTTTCACTTTTTTTATCCTTAAGTGTATCAATTCAAAGATTATTCAGTGACAAAATACATTGTTTTCCCGAAGTAACTTTTTTAACAGATTTTTAAGGGTCATCACTTTCATAACGTATTTTTTAAATGCTTAGTTTTTCAAATGTTAAACCAATATTTTCATGTCCTCATCGGATGTATTTTTTAACCCTATGTTCCCATTTTTTTATAGTGTCTTTTAATGAATTTTTGCCTCATAAATCTATATTTTCAGCGGATTTTCTCGTCAAATCAGTACGTACGTTTCCGGGTAATTGCTAATGTCCATATGTGCCTTTAAGTAACTAATATACCAGAAGGAATGAACGAATGTGTCAATCCCAGGCAACTTACCAGTTTACGTTCAAACTTTCCGATGGACGCTGTGGATTGTTTAGCGGCATGGATGGCCATGTTGACTTCTGGTTTATTAGACAGTGCCTTTGGTTTGACGCCGTGACCAGGGACTGAAAAACAGCAAGATTGAGAAGCACATTCAACCCATATCATATTAAAGGGAGAATACAACATTTGCAAACATCAAAAAATAAAACTACCAAATCATTTTGAAATACCTTGCTGGACTGTTAGTGAATGACAGTGTAAAGCATCCTGTAAAATCATGGCACCTGGTATACTGTCATTTTCAAGAAAAGTGGTATTTTTGTATCAATTTCCAATGCTGGTCGGCCGACCAGCATTGGAAAAAACTGGCTTTTTTCAAATACTGGCCCCAATTGACCATCGCACTTGTTTGCAATCGATTACACACCTATGAACGGGTACAAGCCAGCTAGACTAGTTCCCTGACCTTACAATTCCCCAATATATGTAAACTGCTCTGTTTCTTCTTAAATGGAGTCAGGGAACCAGACTACAGGAAAATGATTGTTTTTCTTGGTTTTTATAGCATTTTCGAAACCAAAACCTCAAAAAGTCAGTGTAACTATATTTGCTATACATTTCCAACCCCCCAATTCCATCCATTTCTGAAAATTACAGCGAAAGCAAATGATGTATATTCCCTTTAATGTTAGCTGAAAAAAAAACCCAAGGTTTTGGATTCCAAACTATAACTCCTGCAGCCAATTTCAAGAAACACTGTCAGCTCTCCAAAATCAATAGAAAATTTACCAAAGCTTGATTTGAATCTGTCACTTGTCACAATATTTGTGACATTATCAATATCGCAAACCCTCGAAATGGTTGTCAAGGATCACACAGAAAGTAATAGGGCTTCATTTTCATCAATTAAACCATTGCTATGACATCACACTATTGTTAAAAGTGAGGATTCTGAACTACGAATCTGTTACACTGGTCAAAAAGTGTGGATTCGGAACGACGATTCGTTAGTAAAGTGTGGATTGGAATTACGAATCCACACTTTGTCTGACAATTGTTCTCCATAATGAGCATTAATAGGACCGTCTGCATGAAAACTTCCCTTCCGAAAGTTACCAACGCATCTTCACTGTCGGATTCTCCGCCGTCACTGCAAAAACTACTTTGAGTCTAAAAGACATCGTCTGAACTATCCATGTTGACGTAAGGAGCCTATACATAAAATGACTTGCTTGCACGTGTGCGGCGATACACATGCTAAACACGCCACAATGCTTGATTACGTATAAGAGCCTCAAAGAACTCCCTTGTAAATTACCCTAATGGCCACGACTCGACACGAGCTACGCAAGTCTTTTCATCTCCACTCACTGAACTGTTAATGACAATACTCCTTTCGACGCAATGGTTAAAGTCCAAGAATACACTCGCAAGTGTAGATTCTTCATTTACGAATTCACGAAGCGCAAATTACGAATCCACACTTTCTGGTGTATTCTCCTTTTAACAAAAACCACAAAAACAAAATGGTGCACTTTTAATAAGCTAAATCCGTTTCCAAAGTTTCAAAGCTACTAAGTCTTGTTTTAACTATTCACAGTGTACTGCCCTCGTTGAGTTGAGGAGCCTACTTACTTTTGAGTCTCTGTGCTCTGGCAACATTCCGCAGTCGTTGGAACTCATTCTTAGCAACCCTCTCCCGTTTCTCCTTCCTCTTCTTAGCAAACTGGTCCTCATAAGGATCTGTAAGTCCACGCAAAAATGTCAGTACTACCCATTTCTTTAACTCCATTTTATGTCATTCCATTCACAATTATGTTTCTGAGAAGGAATTTGGAAAAGGATAATTGTTCGTATGGACCCACTACACTCCCATTTCAACCAACCATCAATCAGGGAGTCAGGTTGGCGTAGCGGTACTTTACTCGCCTTCCACCGCTGTGATCCGGGTTCGAATCCAGCCTAGGCCAGTATGTGGATTGGGTTTTCAGTCCCTACCTGATTCCGTGGGTTTTCCCTAGAATATTCTTCTGGGCTTTTCCTCCCACCTCTAAAACTGTAATTTCTTCTCATTGTCTCCTCTCTACAGGTTTCGTCAGGCTTTCGGGCTACAGTGCCTAGGGCACTTTTGAGGAATCCTTGGTTTCATTACCAGATATAAATAAATTAATCAATGCATAAGTCACCAACTTTGAGTCTTTCCACAACTCCCATTTCACATTTCGCTAGGGGAACCGACCTGGTTCCCTTCCCCATAACACCCTGACGTTCAATCTGTACGTGCCAGTCACCGAGCATATCGATAGCAGGAACACGGTTATTGACACAGGACGTGAAGTCCTGGCCAAGTTGGATCCGGCATGGGACCCAGCAGATCACTAGGCGGGGAACCAACCGAGAACCAACATCGTCAAGTTGGATCATCTGAGAACTCAGCAAAGTCACGGGAGTGTGAAAGACATGGGTGAGCGCCCTTCAGATCTTTGAGTAATTTATGCAGTGATGTATAAGTTTATATACATATGGTAAAAAAAAAGGTAAAGATCCCATAGCCATTACTGGCCGTAGGGGCAGTGGGATGTTAGAGGTCCACTGTGTCTTGGGCGGGGCATATGAGTGGCGGTGCCCAGTCCTCTCCTCTCGCCGTCTTACCTTCCCTGAACGAATCAGGTACCCATTTTACTGTTGGGTCGTCAGAGAGAGAATTGTCCAGTTTTTGGTTCGAATGGGATTCGAACCGCCAACCTTCCACTCCGTAGCTCCACGCTCTAACCGCTCGGCTACGAGGCCCCTCTATATACATATGAACAGTTGTTGAATTAGAAATTCTTTGATGATTTGCAAGTCATATTGTCTCTGTGACTCTGTGACTCACATTACCTGCATTGTCTGGAATCTCCATCATCCAATCTCTACTCTCGTCATTCTTGCTGCCGTAACCCCAGCGAGGTACCCATTTCTGCCAAGATAGAGAAAAGGAAAAGTAACAACAATGTACAAAATTCAGAGCCCAGTATATGCCAAAAGGTCATTCCATAAATGTAGGGTCATGAGCAGATTGAAGTATATTCATCCGATAAAACCGATTAAGTTTATATGCATTTTAATGCGAGACAGATGCCGCACACGAAAGTTGCAGTTTAGACTGTAAAGCTGCAATGCCCTTCCGACAACTTCCGGAATTTGAATTTTGGGGTTGGGTTTCTTTCACAGGTATCCGGGTACCCGTGCTTTACTTCAATAGGGTACCCGGTTCCCGTACTACCCGTAAATGCACACACAAGTTTACATTACATACCAAGTGTGGACATTCCCTTGTTTTCGTGTAGTTAAGAAAAAGCTCTGAAAAAACTCATCTTACTCTCACTATGAAAACACTTTCAACCCATTTTTTCCCCTATGATTCCCTTTAGTGTTTCTCTTCATTTCGCCACAGATAAACCTAACCCCAAAATGCTTTAAACCTGTTATCCAGAAATGGGGAACACTGTGTGGACTTGCCCAAGTCCACACAACGTCGCTGCTACCTGGTTTATGTGGACCTCTTTTGTTCGGAAGTCCACACAGTGAATGTAATGCCTACCCACCACAACACACAACCCCACGAACTGTTCCTGCAAAGAGTCCAGCAAGCACTAACCTTCTGTTCCTCATCCCAGACTTTGCGGCTCTTTTTCCTCTTCTGAATCCCCTTCACTTTTGAATACTGTTCCCATCTTGTCATGGGCTTATCTTTTGGTACCTGATAAGAGAACATATCAAATCTTAAACTATACTACAATGAGACAATGTTAAGAAATTCAATTTATTTTATTTATAGTTGAACAAAGAAATTGAGTGGAGCGAGGTTTGAACCTGCGACCTCCGGATTGTTGTTCCGGCTCTCTACCAACCATGGCCAAGTTCGGGCAAGCATAGCTGCCAACATTTCAAAATCCCAATTAGTAATCAACCCGCGCGGTCATTTTCAACTGCTCGTTTTATCAAAAGCTTTACCAACATCGAGTACAGGTACATGGTTTTCATGTACACATACATGTGCATACCCTTCTTCTTGTGAATAATAATGTAATGTAGGCCAAAAGATAATTTAAAATTTTTTTTTTTTTTTTTTTTTTTTTTTTTTTTTAATTAATTTTTTTTAATGTCTGTATTTGTTTGTTGGAGTCAAATAAATAATAACAATAATAAAATATGCGCATATTTTTTTGGAGATGCATGCTATCGATGTGGAGTTTCGAGTTCGTATCAATGTTTTTACACACATTGATTTAGGGCCACCGTCATGACCGTATGCAATAGAAATATCCCGCCAACATACCTTGCAAACGCATGCTGATTTATCTTTTCTGGACGTTGTGACAAACTCAAACTGTAATACCAATTATTCCAACCATACTCTTATTAAATTCCATGATTAAATTGTCGCACTGATGGGTCTCAACCCGGCAAAAAGCGACCAAATGTGCTCACGATCGTCACTGAAAAGTACTCACATACAGTACACACAACCACACATCCACGAGATGCACACAAATGACACACCATTGAAAAATAGTTTTAGTCTGGTCCTCAAGTACTCCACTGCGCACACTGCATTGATGTCTATCAGGTGCTTGACTGCATTCTTATTAGACTTGTCACCAGTCCATCCATTATCGCGACATTTCGCCAGAAGTTTTCGGTCAAAAACGATACTTTACAAGTATTTTTTTTTTCATTAGGTAGAAAATGGGAAATTCGTAATGTTTTAGTGGCAAATCGTATTTTCGTAATTTAACAAACAATTCGTAATAATTACGAAAAATTAGTAACAGTTGGCAGCTATGGGCAAGGACCATTAGTCGACTAGTGGTTGATTTGTGACGTACCTTACGCCTGCGCACTGATAGCAACGTGCAAACGTCTCTAGTCAAACGCTGGTCAAAATGTCATCGCAAAACTTCTGGATCCTGGCTCTCTGCTAGCGTTATGGATGCGCGCGGCTATTGGTTACCAGCGAAGCAACCAACCCCAGTAGGCTGGTGCCAAATAGTCGACTAGCGTAGTCAACCACCGTTGACTAGACAGAGTTCGGGCAAACGTTAGTTAACCATTGGTCAACTATAGGCCTAAGCTACCGGTATCTAGCTCTTAGTTGGCGCTTGTCCCCCATTTTGTCAATGTCTTTGTTCAAGGGGCACTGGTCAGAAGCCATCAACCCGTATATTCCATGTAGCCAGGGATCCGGCCCAAAGTCACGATGCCAGCAACATTAGCAATGCTGCAAACCAGGCAATAGCAAACGGAAATCACTCAAAAAGGAAACAGCTTGTTTGAAACTTAAAGAGGTTGTGGAATGCTCGAAGACATTTCCGTCACTTTTCGGGTATATGTAGCCTAAGGTGTGATGAAATAAAAACGACTATTGTTTCTGTCATAAAATGAGTACAAAAGGTACTTTTGAGAGCTGTTTTTCAAGTCCTGTCATGCCTGTTTCGACCCGAACGTGCAATTTGTGTAAAAGTCGTCGTTGCGGGCCGCAAACAAAACACAGTAAATCGTGACGTAATAAACAGGACTCCCGATGCAGAGTAGCATAAACGAATCCTGTTTATTACGTCATGATTTACTGTGTTTTGTTTGCTGCCCGCAACGACGACTTTTACACAAATTGCACGTTCGGGTCGAAACAGGACCTGAAAAATAGCTCTCAAAAGTACCCCTTTGTACTCATTTCATGACAGAAACAATAGTGGTTTTTATTTCATCACACCTTAGGCTACATATACCCCAAAAATGACGGAAATGTTTTCGAGCATTCCACAACCTCTTTAAGCAATTTATTTACATTTTACTTTAGCATGAAATACCTGCATTAATTTACCTAAAACAAGCCCATAAAATCCATGGCAATCGAACAAAATGTATCTGACGTTTTGTTCAGTTGAATTTGCTTCTGAACAATTACAGCAGTAATTGAGAATATGCAGACCATTTTGAGGTTTGTTGCTGAGGCGTAAAGGCAACTTACATGCTTTTCTCTAGGCAAAATTGTTGTTGGTTCCGGCATCTGGAGAAAAGGAATTTAAAATTGTTGTTAAATACATGGAAGTTTCTTTGACTTTTTACTCTAAAGTGTATCCAATTTGAAAAAGAAATTTTATGATAATACACATTTTTGAGAACAATTCAACTTGCAAAACGACTGCGCATTACACACCTTACGTATGAAATAAAGTCAGTATGTGGCCAGGTTCTGTTCGCCTGCCATGCATGGCGCCACAATATTGACAGATACCGCATACATGTATGTACAGCCTGTCTAAAAAAAAATGGTACAATCAAAAACGATATTTTTTTTTTCAATATTAAATCTCAACATAAGTAAGTCGTTTTGAGCATCACATTAAAGGAAAAAGACCAGGCTTTCCAATACTTTTTGTTTCATCTCATTTGCTTTTGTCAATCCAGAGATAACTCCAGTTTACTGCGGAACACAAAAATCGAGCTTGTTTCTTTTGCCAAGTTGCAATCTTTTGTGAGCTTCAAGACAGCATGGCACAGTACTCGAAACAACTCTGCCCATGCATAAAAGTGGCACAAAATCGATTTTGGTTTATCGCACTAAATTGATTATATCTCTGAATTGACAAAAGCAAATAAGATCAAACAAACACTATTGGAAAGCCCAGTCTTTGTTCTTTAATATTATGCCAAGTAAGAATGACTTATTTTGAAATTTCATATTTAACCAATTTTTTTTCTGATTGTACCATTTTTTTTCTAGAAAGGCTGTATATCCGTACATGTAACGTGCTGCATGCAATATGGCACTTACGTGCGGGGATGGTTTGTGCATCCTTGACCCCAATGTGCGTGTTTGTCAACTCCAATTACCAGTTTGAATGACTTGTACAAATGTATGTATTGCTGTGTATAAAGCCGATAACATTTCCAAAAAAGCATACTTCTATGTACTATAATTGTACATTATTCAACTTAAATATTATTTATTTGTATCTATTACGAATTTGTGTATTTATTACGAATTGACAGCATAGAAAAAAATATCTACTACTGCTAAAAAAAATATCCCCAAAACACAACTTACAGAACTAGTCACCAGATTTGGACGAAGCAGTCTGATTGGTTAGGAATGAAGATATTTTTTGAGAATTTTGTTGGCTAGTAAGTGAGTAAAGGTTGCCTTATACCCATATCTGTGGTGCTGTTTTGCATGCTTTTTAGTACTTGGTGTCTAAGTCTGAATACACAATGAACCTGAATTTATTCAATGGGCATACATGGAGTGCTGTGGCCTCGTGGTTTAGGGCACTGATTTGTGGTCTGCGGGTAAAGCTGCAGGTTGTGGGTTCGAGTCCTGGCGGGGTCATGGTGCGTGTGCACTTGGGCAAGGCACTTTGTCACTCATTGCTTCTCTCCACTCAGGAGTAAATGGGTACCTGTGAGGGCAGAGATGGTTATTGTGATTGAATTAGCTACCTTGCGCCTAACAGGCTGCATCGAGCTGTATACTCCCCAGGGAGCTGAGATGGTATTTGGAATGTTTCATGTGCCCCATGAGCAGGGGTAATAATGATGTAGCGCCTTGAGCACCAGTCCTGGTGGATACGTGCGCTTTATAAATAGCCAATATTATTATTATTATTATTACATGTAAATTGATATTTATTACCTTTGCTATGATTACATCATCTGATCTCTCCACGGGAAGCTGATAAAAGACGGGAAAATATTTAGTTAAGAATCCAACCTCCAATCAGATCAATACATTTAACGTCTTCAGTGTGAACTTCTTGACCTGCAGTGTGCTTAAGCTTGTCCTTGGCTAGACCCATACATGTCTCAAATACCGGACTTTCTCCGTATTGAGAGCCACACAGTGGTATACATGTGCTAAATTTCCTGAAAGGTTGTGAATTTTGAAATCTAGACTGTTTTTCCACTCGATATTCAGTATGAAAGCTACATGTACTTGCTAAAAAGCAGGACAAATTCCCGAATTCCAGACTTGGGTTTTCAGTAAGTGAAATTCTGGATGCACATTACTCATCGTTCAATGCCGCATTTGAAAACCCATAGCGTTACGGTAACCCAAAAAGTGATAGTGCTAAAAGGCACTGGTCGGGTTTTAGAGATACGCACAAACAAACACACAGGACCCAGCCTCGAAAATTCAGCACTCACAAACTGGCCAATGGCTACTCACCTTCCATATCTCATTGAACAGGAGTTGTGTGTTATCTCTTGTTAACGACGTCAGAAAGGATTCTCTGTTTTGCCTGAAATTAATCGACAAAATTTGTTTAATTAATTTATTAATTTAACCATGAGCAGGAATGTGGATGTCACACAACTCCACCATTGCTCAACTCTACTTGTACCGACTTGACCGTTGAGAGAATGTGCCAACGATATCCATATCACCATGGTCGCTGTGTGCAGGCGGTCAGCGACACACTTCGCATCAGGTGAATTGTGCCTCGTTCACTGGGTCAAAAATCGATGTTGGTGAGTAAAAACTCTGGCATCTCAAACACTGTAGCTCTGAAACCATTGTTATTAGCTTGGGACAATTCAGCTGTAATGCTCATTACATCGGATGTTTGCCATTCCAATGTCCTGACATCGGATATTTGCCATTTCCGATGTCATGAGTATTAGAGCTGGGGTTTCCCTAGCCCCATTCTGTGGCCACATTACTGGCCTCCCCCTTTAAAGGAGGCCACAACATTTTGTTTTGTCGTTGTCAATGTCATCGTCATTTTACCCCCAAATTTCCCTCGAAAATTCCAAACCCTGCCCTTTGTCTACATTATGTTCTTAATGTCGCCAACTAGTTTGGTTGGTCAAATAATTTAAAAGTGGAGTTTGTTTCCTATAGGAACCGGGCCCGTAGATACACGATCGCCATAATAAACCGCATGGACCATGAGTATGATGTAGTGGAAGTGGGGCTATCGCGCTCCACGCCATGCACTAACCCGACTGCATCTGGCGGTACAGAGCTTGCGGTAGTATGCCCTACTGTAAGGCCAGATGCAGTCGGGCTACAGAGCTTCCGACTGTACGGCCAGATGCAGTCGGGCTAGTCATGCACTAGACCCGTGAACGTGGCGTTGTATACAACGCCACGCGCCTCCCTCGGGTAGATACTAGCGAAATCTTTTGATCCGCTACATATAACCACGTATAATTTTGCCCATACGTAAATCACTTACTTGTTAGGCTTCCTGTGAATTCACGCGAGTGTTGGATCTGTCATTGCCAAGATATGTTATGTAAAGTACGGCACAACTTTGTCACAACGAACGTTTTCAAAATGATCAGAAAATTAAAGACAGGCATGACACTCTGGTACTCCGAGTTCAGCATGCGCAAAACAGTAAGAGTCGTACCAGTGGGTACCCGACTAACCGTCTTACATGGCAGGATGACCGTAACACCATGTAAAATTCTGCTAAATCCACTTTGAAGGTCTGCCAAATCACCCAGTATAACTGCTGGTCCTTGAATCAGTGTGCAATGATTTGTTTCAAGGATCGTTCAATAAATGAAGGTTTTTCAAACCAAATGTGCCATATTTCTCTAATGTTTTCATTTTCCTTCATCTTCATAATTCTGCCGAAAAAAAAATCTGCTGGATTTTCTGTACAACTCATCTTTGTATGCAAATATTCTGTCAAATGTAGCCGAAATTCGGCTAGAACGGTAACGCTGTTACGCCCCAACCATCGCATCGGTCCCAACTATAGTTGGGACTGTTCCAACTATAGTGCGGCAGTTGGGTCGGCCCAACTATAGTTAGGACTGGAGTTGCGCCGGACGCTCGATACAGGGTGTTAATGTGATCCAAGGCGCTGGCACCATGTATTCGTCGTGCATGCATCAGTGTTGTAGGTCTCGAGACCGGTCTCGAGACCGGTCTCGGTCTCGGTCTCGAGACCACTTTTTGCTGGTCTCGGGAGCTGTGGTCTCGGTCTTGGACTCGGTCCCCTTTGGTCTCGATATTTTGGCTGGTCTCGAGTCGAGAACAGCCAAAAAGTGAGGGGGGCGGACTCCGCCCCCGGCCCTTTTAGGGTTAAGTAAAGAATCAGTTTAGGGCAAATGTGACTGCAGTGTGATGCTAATGGACATGTATGTCTCTCTTCACTTTCTAGTGAGTGAGGCATAGTCCAATAACCATTGCTCCTCTTCTTATTTCTCGTTTTTATTGTGGGATGATATGTTGAAACAAGCACTTTATAGCCATCCTCATTGATTCCAAATACAACTGAGATTTAAATCTTATGAATCAAGACTGAAACATTATTTTTACCGTCAGATTTTGTATTTTGAATATGGGGAACAATTCAACTCTTTTTTTCCCTAGAAATATTGGTGATTTTTTTCTATTTTCCTTTTCAATTTTTCCTTTATTCGTGGAGGCGGGAAAATGTTTTTTTTTCATTATATTTATTAATGGATATTCATCAATTCGTAGACCGTTAAATTGGTATTAGTGGTGGACAGCTGAATTTTGTGATCTCTTTATTAAAATAGACACGACTTGGGAATAGAGTATGCAAATTACGTGAAATGTTCACAGTTACTACTAAATAACATGTTCTTTATCCCAATTATATTTTTCTACAAAATGGAGCGTGCCATTTTTTTTTTTATCATACGTTCACTTTCTTTTTGACTCGCCATGTATTCATCTTTTCATCTGTGATAAACACAAATTGAGCTACTGCCATGGTAACACAAAAATACAGTCTAATTGCCTGCCTCGTCTCCTTCCTAAATGTCAATTGCATTTGCATGAGTCGAGAAGAATTGTGTTCCATTAATCGCTATATGCTGTTTACGGCCATCACAATAAACTATTAATATATTGGCAATATGTCGTACTTGTTAATCACTAAAATATTCAAGTAAATTGCCCAGCAAAGTAGCCAATGCAGGCGATACGATGGCACGGTACAAAACACAGAGGCGTGCGCACTGAGCCATGAATCCTAAAACTACATCTCGCCCACCACATTCAGTTTGTGACAGCGCCATTCTATTGTGTCGGCCATATTCTCAAATAGGCTAATGACGATGATGACGGCGGGCAGATTAACAGAAGATAGATCAGGCAAATATGGTTCATCAATCTTCTATAGTATATTCAACGTTATTGACATTAAACAAAAATAAAGTGGCATTACATTTCAGCCTTAGCCAGGCCTTCTTCAGAGGTAAAGGACAGAGGAACAAGAAACAAACATATAGGGGCCACCCGAACATGCAGGGTTGGAAGGAGAATCACAAAGAGGGATGGGGGGGGGCAGACCAATCCATATCTGGCTACCATCTCTGAATTTTTTGTACAAATCTATATTCCATGACTGAAATGTTAAAAAATAAATAAATATTTTCTTGCTCCAAATTTTTTTCGAATCAGGTTTACAAGGAGGTCCAATGTAGAATTAAAGTTGCATTTAAATATCCGTTAGTGGTCATTGCTGAAACCAAGGGGTGGCTGTGGAGTTTAGGGTCCGAGTTCCTATAACAGATGAAACATCCACCTTTAACTTTTTACTTTTGTCAAGTTTTAACATGTTCAAAGTTTGCAAAAACTAGTACAAATTGTCGTACTCCTAAGTTAGAGTTTCTTCATCAGATTTACACAAACAATATTTAAAAAAGATAGTGGATATTTTGCCGGAGGTAATGACGGCAAACTAACGTTTACTAAAGGTTTGCCGGCGGCAATCCATATCAACAGAGGGCGCTGTACTCTTTAAGATAGGGCTGAATTATAAGATGTATTAAATTCCCACCAAAAGTTGTGTAGCACGTTTGGTGAAGTGGTTGGTACAACTATAGAATGTAGGGCCACTTTACTCTACATCCGCGCCTCCGTACGGCTGCGTGGAGGCATGGAGCCGCAGTCGACCTACATGTACCTCCGAAAATCGATCGTGGAGTCGTGGAGCCGCAGTTGATATCTCCGAGAATTGCGCCCTCTATCGGTGCGCGTCTCTGCGACTCTGCGCCTCCGCCATTCCAGTGCCCCGCCTCTCCGCGACTAGACTCTGCGACTCCCCGACTCCGCGCCTCCGCCACTCCAGACAGTGCCCCGTCGCCCTCCTCCCTTCCTAATTTGCGAGCCCATTTAAAATGGATACGGATGCTTCGTTCTCAAAAAAATTCCGCCGAGAATTGCGCCCTCTATCGGCGCGAGTCTCTGCGACTCAGCGACTCTGCGCCTCCGCCACTCCAGTGTCCCGCGTCTCTGCAACTCTGCGACTCCATGCCTCCGCCACTCCGATCCGTACCGTGCCCCCAACACATTTACAAGCATGCCCTCCCTTCCGATCCTTCATGAGAAGCTTAGAAGACAAGTGCATTCGCTGTACTTAGCACTTTTTGCAGGTTTGCATATCTATTACTCCTATATCCATCCACGCCTCCAAGCAAAATAAAAAACCTTGCTCCGGCGTGGCCCTGCATTCTATAGTTGCTCCAAGTGGTTAAGCAAAGGCTAGTTCGAATTCGACCGCACCACATTTTTAAAGTTTTTTTTTCTCATCCCCAAATAAATAAGAATATTCTTCTTTTATTATTTTAACATGTTTAAACATTTTTTTGCAGAGTATTACATTTGGAAAAATTCTGCTAACCGGACACCACTTTTTTCAATTAATTTTTTTTCGCATGTCCACTCTTTCCTGGATTCCTCTTAGTTGAAATCACAAGGTAAGGTGAAAATTTGGATGTTTGGCGGCAGGTAAGTGGTGTCCGGTTGGCAGAATTTTTCCGAGTGGACATGCGAAAAAAAATTGGTAAAAATGTGTTTTTGGAGCACATTTTGCATGCACATGTACATGTAGTGCAGATCTGAGTTGAAGCAGCCGGTCAAAACTGATTGAAGTGTCTGGAACAGCAGTACATTATACGCATGACATCGATAACCATGACGTCGCATGAGACGTCGCATGAGCCGGCCAATGATAGTGCAATACGTCATTATGAATATTTATTTTCTCATGAATATTTAGTTTATTTCAATGGATACTTCAAATACGTCCAAAGATTGATCATTGCAACAGCGATCGTGCGCGGCCTAGCTGTTAAGAGACTCGTGTATCAAGCAAGCGTCCGAGGTTCGAATCTCGATGAAGTGAGCGACTGATTGATAAATAGAAATTAAGGAAAGGAGGGGGTGAGAGTAGAGGAGGGAAAGTGGAGGGAATAACCATAAAAGAGGTAACTTTTGGCGCTAGAAAATTAATTGAAAAAAGTGGTGTCCGGTTAGCAGAATTTTTCCGGTAAGTGGTGTCCGGTTGGCAGAATTTTTCCCTAAAATTGTCACCGGAAAATGTTTAAGTACAAAAAACAGTAACTGCGCATGTTCAGTGCATATCCGGCAAACTAACGTTTACTAAAGGTTTGCCGTCTCCGGCAAAATTAGCCCCATAAATGTGGCCTATTTACTGGACTGCCTCCGTAAACATAGGCCACACGTCCACATGTACAAAAATCGTGTCGACTTTGCCAAATTTTGATTTTCACATTTAGGCTTAGTTTGTCAGTGTTTGTAGGATTTTTTTGCTTTAGAAGCATACTCACCCACTTTATAGGCTAGTCAGAAAGTGCTGCCTTTTTCAGATGTATATTTTTCGTGAAATTTCCAGATTCATTTTTACACGTTTGCGTATCAAAATTTCAACATGAAATTTCACAAAAATTAGTCATCTGAACACATGCTGAAAAAGGCAGCACTTTCTGACTAGCCTATAAAGTGGGTGAGTATGCTTCTAGTTCTAAAGCAAAAAAATCCTACAAACTAAGCCTAAATGTGAAAATCAAAATTTGGCAAAGTCGACACGATTTTTGTACATGTGGACGTGTGGCCTATGTTTACGGAGGCAGTCCAGTAAACTGGCCACATTTATGGGCCTACAGCAAAATATACACTGCCTTAGTTTAAAAAACGGGTCATTGGCATGGTCTAGCGGTATGCATCATGCATGCACGTGTGCACGTGCATTATAAGTTACGTACTTACTTAAATTCCTTTAAACTTAACGGGTTCGGATCGACAGCCAGAAGATTCCCCAGATCAAGATCAACATCTAGAGCTTTATCAACTTCGGTTGTCTTGAATCTTTTCTCTTGAAGTTCAGCTTGTTTTAAGACATTTTCAACCACATGCTGTTGCGACTGGCTCGCCATCTTGATTATGGGCGCGATCAGTGGATCCGAGCGATCAGACGATGGCGCTGTGCTAAAACGAGATCTGTCGCGCTCTAGCTCTGCAAGCATTAGTCGATTGCGCGCGCAGGGCAGAAAACGCGCCATCAGCTGATCGCGCAGCGCAAAGTGTATTCATCTCGCGATTGGTCGATCGCGCAGTGATTATGGTTGTATGGCAATGTATATTTTTTTCGAAATCTAGCGTTCGCGCAGCATGCTATGCAGGCACATTTTGGGACCGGTATTTTGGGCCATGGGCGATTCGATTCCGGGCGATTGGTCGATCGTTCAGGCCAGAGAAGGATTTTGCAAGAGTAAAACAAAGATTGATTTATTCAGCCAGTTGTCAAAACAATCACAGGATTTTGTAATGATGGACTCGCATAAAATGACTAAATTAAAAAAACAACAACAATATAATTAAAACAATTAGCTTAAACACATAAATTAGTACAATAAAAAATATTACATTAGGCCAACTATTATGAATTAGAATTTTTCCATTGTTAACCTCCACGGCCGATGGTATAAACCTAGCTATTTCTAAAACGGTCGTTTTTGCACTGATCGATCTCATCCTTCTTCCCGAAGGCATCAGGTGGCAGAACTCATTTGGTGGGTGATGATATTGTTTCCACCACCCCCCCCCCCCACCCCCACCTCGGGCTGTCCCACGCAAGACGTGGGTATTGTCACTTTTGAAGTGACAATATCCCCACCCCTCGGGCAAAATTTGAGTGACAATTCCCGATCATGGCCCCACACATGCGGCATGCATGGGGCGCACTAGTGATTGCCTTTCCATGTAGTACGTACGCCAATGGTAACAATGTAATTTGTCCCCGTCTGCAATTTTTCGTCAAAGGTTTAAAGGTTAAACGTTTATCAATATCAGATATACGAGTAAAACAGATGCTTGAACATTAGCGATACATTGTCCTCCACAGTTTAACACTTTTTTTTTTTTTAGCTATGCCATGATTAGGCATACAGAAAGCAAATTCAATTTCACAAAATCTTTTCGAAAAACTTGATAAAAAGCTTTACACTAAAATATCTACATTCGTTCAAATCTTATATTGTTGACAAATACATACAATTTTAGCTGATCTACAATTATTGTCATATAGTTACAATCACTGTTATTGTTGTAGGACTCAAGTCCAAGACTGGACTCAAGTTACAATTTCAGTGACTCGCGGGACTCGACTCGAGTCACATCAGCAAGAGACTCGCTCTTATAGACTCGGACTGCACCATCATGACTCAAGGGCGGATCAAGAACACAATTTTTTTGGGGGGGGGGGCCAAAAAAATTTGGTCCCCCCAAAAAGTGGGTCAAAAAAATTACGGCGTGGGGTTCGGGGCCCGCTTAAGAGCCCCGAAATTTTTTTGGATTCTAGATGCTCTGTGGTGCGATCTGAGGCAATTCCTGATCACTTTAACCAATGTTTTTTTGAGGAAAAGATGGTGGTGTGCTCATTGCCTGCCTTTATTGCGATGTCACATAAAAAAATAAAATAAATTGGTTTCGTTTTTTTGGGGGGGGGGGCCATGGCCCCCCCCCCCTGGATCCGCCCTTGTCATGACTCAGACGTGACGCCGACTCGTGACTCGCGAGTCACGTATTTTGTTACCCAAAAAAGATCTTTTTAAAAACGTAATTCCCACCACTTTCGGATGGTGTTACATGAACAAATACTTATGTTTCTTATTACACGCGCCCTCTCTGTTTCACGCGACAGCGCATCACTTACATATCGCTATATTATGTATGTGTGAGTATGTAAACACCGGCAATCGTGGACGTAGGACAAAAAAATTGGGGCGCAAACAATACGTCCACGATTGACCGAAAGTCCACGATCTCAAATCGTGTACAAAACGAAAGAGAGATGTCGCTAAAAGATCTCAAATCGTGTACAAAACCAATGAGAGCTGTCGCTAAAAAGTTAGAGTACAAACAAAGGAAAGAGGATTAGGGACAATGGGGGGTCCACGATTGCCGGTATTTACACGCGCCTGTACGTCGTTCCAATGCTTGTGCGCGCTGCGCCGAATAACAAAACGAACAACTAATTTAAAATTTTCCTACGGGAGTTTAGTCCCCTTACTATCTTTCAACCAGTATGTTTTTCAACAATAATTACGCCAGTTAATTTTTTGGATAGCTGCAAATGATGGACTCGGGCTTTAAAGATATAGTCCATCATTTGTAATTTTGTGCATTTTGTTCGTTTGAAGCAAAAAAAGCGTTCAAAATCTAAAGAAGGATACTGGAAAACTAACCTGATGAAGTTTCTGCTCAGCTTCAGCTGTATATTCCGAGAAAAACAGCATTCTAGGATCTCAATTTCAAATCAAAAGTTGCTGAATCATGTTTTGAATTGTTTTGAATTGCAGCTATACGCGATGTCGCGCACTGATCCGACGAATTATAGCAACCGAGGGTGTGTGGACGTGTGCGTCGTGCCAATGCTTGCGCGCGCTTTGCCGAATAACAAAACGAACTACTAATTTAAAGATACATCATTTGCAGCCATCCGAAAAAGTAACTGGCGTATTATTGTTGAAAAAATATACTTGGTTGAAAGATAGTAAGTGGACTAAACTCCCTGTGAAATTAATCTTTCTGGCAAGCTATCATTTTGAAGTAATCAACGAAAGAAGGCCTTTCCAACGGTGCGTCTTAAGACTTAAGGAAAATTTAAATTAGTGGTTCGTTTTGTTATTCGGCGCAGCGTGCGCAAGCATTGGCACGACGCAGGCGCGCGCGCGGTTGCTATAATTCGTCGGATCAGTGCGCGACGTCGCGTATAGCTGCAATTCAAAACAATTCAAAACATGATTCAGCAAATTTTGATTTGAAATTGATATCCAAGAATGCTGTTTTTCTCAGAATATACAGCTGAAGCTGAGCTGAAACTTCATCAGGTTAGTGGTTCAGTATCCTTCATTAGATTTTAAACACTTTTGTTGCTTCAAACGAACAAAATGCACTAATTACAAATGATGGACTATAGCTTTAAGACGCACCGTCGGAAAATTTAAATTAGTAGTTCGGTTTGTTATTCGGCGCAGCGCGCGCAAGCATTTGCACGACGGACGCGCGCGGTTGCTAAAATTCGTCGGATCAGTGCACGACGTCGCGTATAGCTGCAATTCAAAACGATTCAAAACATGATTCAGCAAATTTTGATTTGAAATTGAGATCCTAGAATGGTGTTTTTCTCGGAATATACAGCTGAAGCTGAGCTGAAACTTCATTAGGTTAGTTGTTCAGTATCCTTCATTTGATTTTGAACACTTTTGTTGCTTCAAACGAACAAAATGCACAAATTACAAATGATGGACTAAAAGTCCTTAAATTTTCCTACGGTGCGTCTTATGACGCACCATTGGAAAGGCCTTCTTTCGTTGATTACTTCAAAATGACAGCTTGCCAGAAAGAATAATTTCACAGGGAGTTTAGTCCCCTTACTATCTTTCAACCAAGTATGTTTTTCAACAATAATTACGCCAGTTACTTTTCGGATGGCTGCAAATGATGGACTATAGCTTTAATGAACGTTGCCCAACGCATGTCGATGCACATCGGCAAATGACTCGTGACTCCGACTCGAACTTGAAAGTAGCTCGAAACTAGGACTCGACTCAAATGACTCGACTATAATACTGTTAACAGTCAAACGTCGATGCTGAATGTTCTCCATCGAATTTACATTTACAAAGCGTTCTTACTTTTACTGAATCTCTAGTTGAAAAAAAAAGAAGTTTGTATCATCACATTAGCCCATCGTTGGTCCCATTACCCAAAGTTCCAGCTGTTCAGGCAATAATGTTATCAACAAGGATGCGTCGTCCAATGGTCAACCCATGACTGTGTTCAGTTATACCGTTTAGATAAGTTTTCGTGCTTTAGTGCATCCTGCGGTTAAGTAAGAAAAAGTGATACGAGGTTTTTTCTTTTAGAATTGCCGGCGAAAGCATGAAGCTAGCAACTCGTGCAGGGCTTGCCGAAGCTCCCTGTTCCTCAGATAGTAAATGACCACATTCAGCCAACTGTTGGTGTAAAAGATCAAGTTTGTAATTAAGTGAAACTTAAAGAACCGCAGTTCTCCAACGATTGAGTAAGTCGCAATAAAGAGGATAGACGGGGTCCAGCATAAGCAGACTGTCATGGTTATGATGAACACCGTGGTAGCCGACTTTGTACTGACTCTCTGCGGAGCCCTCCGATCACCCCTATCAACATTGATCTGATTCTGGGCGGCGATGCGACGTGCCTGCTGACGGGCAACTTTAAGAATGTACATGTAGAGGATGAAAATTGTTATAAGGGCAATTGGTGTTATGACCAGAATGATCCAATTATAAACTTTGTAGGCTGATGACTTGAGACTGACGCAGATACGAGGTTCCACCGTAGATATGGCACTCGGTAAAAGGATGCCGAATACAATTATGGAGAATGCCAATGCCAGGCTCCACGTGATGGCGACAATTATCTTTGCTTTCTTCAAAGTCATCAGTGTCGGATAGCGCAGCGAGTAGACGATAGCAACAAAGCGATCCACTGTCAGGAGAACAAGCGAAAGGACACCCAGTTCAACAGGAAGCGGAAATAAAACACCCCAGGCGGTGCACAGGAAAGAACCCAACACCCATTCCCCATTGAAAAGTTGTGTTAGCCCCGGGAGCACCAACAACAGCCCAACGCAGATATCAGACACGGTGAGTGAAGCCATGAACACCTTGGTCGTTTCTTGGATGCCGCTGGCGCGATGAAGCACCACAAGGCATATCGGGTTGAGAGTCAGAATCAAAACGAATGTCAGAGCTGTCAACACGCCGAAGGAAACCTCGTACGGGTCCAGTTGAGGTGTTGGCTCCTCATCCAATAACTCGGTTAAATTAACAGATTGTGGATTCATGTTGGATGGTTCCGCGGTCGTACAACAATAGATTTCCCAGAGATTACACTTTGTCAGTGTTGTCAGTGTATCTCATCGCATAGGTCTACTGGCTTGCACAGGTTTTGTGATTTGCTTTTCACTGCAAATCGTAT